TTTTTTTTTTTTTTTTTTTTTTTTCGATTTAGGGTTTCCTAAATAACCAAGCTGTGTTTTCGGTGTGTATTTTCCTGGAGGACATTAAACCCTGCTGGACGGTATGTTTAAATGTTCTGAGTGGAGTTTTGATTTCCTGCTGTCAGGTTAGATTAGCCACTCCTCCGATACGGATGCTGGGTAAAAATGAAAGCTAACAGCTAGTGGTTAGTTTGAATCCATTCTGTTAAATATGGCTGGGGACTTTCGGGGTTTAGCGCTGGAAAAAGCCGAGCTTCTCTCCAGTCGTTTAAGGGAGCTGGTGTCGTCCGGACAAGGCTTCGTTCGGGCCCAGTTCGGAGTGGATTTGGGTCTGAAACCAGAGCTTTACCCGAGCTGGCTCATCCTGTCCACAGCTGCTGTGGGTCTGTTGCTGCTGCTGGGGGCTTCCTGGGCCGCCGTCTGCTGCGGCGGAGGAGGAGGGCTGCTGGTCAGCAAGAAGCGAGCCTACCAGGTCAGCCAAGGCGGCGAGGAGACGAAGACAACCAGCCTGAACAATAAAAGTGTCAAACCGGAGGAGCAGAAGAAGAGGAACAAAAAGAAAACCGGTGACAAGGTAAGAAAGTATGAATGAGCTGCTGCGCTGACAGATTTAAACTCGTCAATATGATTTTTATTTTATTTTTTGTTGCTATTTTTAACTAAAACTGCTCTCTCCAGTGGGGTAAAGTTAATTACTTTAACTAATCATAGCTATATTTTGAAGCTAACATTTGATGCTAGTTTACTTCCCGTAGAATTAACCGGGCATTAGCTTGAATCTCACTAATTTACACTTTATAGATAAATTTGAAACTATATATTAAACAAATATTAGAGCAATTGACTTAACAATTGTGTTGTGCAAAAATTTTCTGTAGTAAAATAAATGAACAGAGAGATGCTAACTAGCTATGTGTTGCTAACCGACACGTCATTGTAACGTCAAGTAGTAGCCTCCATTAATAAATCTGTGTTGTTCAGGTTATTCAAGCAGAGGTTCACACATTTTCAGACAAAATAGTATCAAAGTTGACTCATGATACAAACACTTCTTCTGAATCAATAAACTCTGGTCTAATAATAATACAAAGATCAATAACTATAGTATCTATTGCTAATTTGAAGTTATGCTGTCATATCCTAAAGCATTAACATAAATAGTAGGTTTTACGTTTAATTTCTGATGTGGATCTTAAGACTCCATACTGGTTGATCAAGGGCCCCAACTTTGGGTATCAGTGCCCTAAAGCAACACATTGCTTTGTAAGATAAACCAGCATCCCATATTTCATACATAGAGACCAGTGTTTACACACATAACATTTAGAATAATTTAGGGAGGAAAAAAACTAAACAAATACTGTATTAAAAGGTAATAAAAGATCTATTTGCATTAATATCTTTTAATCCCATGCAAACAATTATACCTAGATATTTTATTTAAAGTTAAAGAATGACAGGGATGAGGCAGCAATGGAAAAATCTAACATTATAATTTATTTAAAGTGCAATGTATTGAAAACTGGGTATCAATTGCAATGAACCTTTTATTTTTTTCCCCCCTGTTGACTATCAGCCTAAGGATCTTAATTACGGTCTGTGCCAGGTCGCCAATGTGTTGTTGGCAAGCAGATTTTTGATGCACAGTTGACCAAATACTTTATATAAGCAGATATTGATTTTGCAATGGCGACCTGGAATCGTCTTTAGGTTTTCATTCCCATAAGTAAAACTGGGGCATTGAGTAGTTTGGAAACCTTTTTTTTAATCACAAACCAATGTAAAAACTTCTTCAACAGTCTTAACCTCAGTCAATGGCATAATGACACAACAATAAGCAACATTATCTGGGTGGGCCCCATGTGAAGTATAACACGTGATCAAGGTTCAGGATATGTCGACAGTTCCATAACAACTTTTTCTTTTCTGGAATCCGCTTAAGTACCTCTTTTTGGTATCAATCGTCGCTAACACATTGTGCGTAACGGTAATGGTTTTAATCTACGCTCTGGGTTTCCCATAATTCCAAGTCGTAGTGTAAAGAATAAAATACTCAAATACATCGTTCTTTTAAGATTTTTATTGCGCTTTCAAACATATTATGAGTTTATTTCTTACCAACCGTCTACTGAACTATATACAGTTATTAACATAGTAATTAGAAATACCACTGTCTGCTTTGCTATTGGTGTCATAAATGGCTCACCATCATGTTGAAATCTGGCTTGTGTTGCAGTATAAATACTGTCCGGTGCGGTCAGTTACTCCAGTATCAGATAGGTTTAAGAGGAATTTTTCGCACCATTAAATCTGCAAAGAGATGTCCTAGTCTACAATTGCGTAGGGGGACTATCAGGTGTTGGTGATGGGGCCCCTAAGAGGTCGTGGGCCTGTAAGCAAATGTCTTCTCTACTCACCGATATTTACGTCATTGACTTCAGTAGTTCATATGTTGGTTTGTTCCCATACCTGCCTTAGCTCTTTAGATAACTTTTGATAGATAATGACCACTGTAGACTGGGAAGAAAGAGCAAGAGCTTCAATTTTCCAGATGATGTAATGCAAAAAATGTATCCATCATATCTGGCCGTTGTTAAACTTAAATTCTTCTGCTTAGCTATTTAGTCTCTGTCTAACAAATTATTTCAGAAAAAAATGTTTGCTTGGTTCTGTTATGTTGTTGTCACTCCAGTGAGGAAGAGATGCTATTATATACTTTGTCAGTTATCATGTCACACAATGTTTTAAAACGTGTGTAGATATTTTATACAAACAAACAATAGCTTGTGTTTCATTCATTGCCTTTCCTTTGCAGAAGACTCAACCCAATGGACAGCCATTGGTTGCTGCTCAACAGGAAGTTAAAGAGACTGAGACTTTGTCCAAACCAGCCCCACCATTAAAAGCTGAGAAGGTATGAGCCCATTACAGAGGAATTGAAACTGTTATTCTTTTAACAAGTAAGCTGTAAGTTTAACTTAAAGTCAACGGTATACTATCAAACATGGATTGGCAGAAGGCAATAATCAAAGTTGTTTTTCATTGTTGTTGTGTGTTTTATTTATTTATTTTAATCTCAGGTGCATGAGGTGCAGGCTCCGGCGCAGTTGAAAAAAAACAGGAAGAAGCCCAAGAGTGATGCAAAACCAGTTCAGCTTTTGTCCACAAGTGATGGGAAAGAACCTGATGATGGTAAATATGTTTTTAAAAACATGTCCTGCCCAGTTCTTTGCCATATTAATACCCCTTAGACCTTTTAGAATTTTGTGACATTGCACAAATGCACAGTATCCTACCGTGACTGTATCTGCTACACCAACGCAGAGTTGCATATAATTTGGAAGGTAAAGGAAAATTACGCTTTCTTTCAAACGGTGTCTCAGGGGTTTGGTAGAGCAGATTAGGGAACAAATATAGAAATGAGGACCAGAAGATACATCGAACAGTTCAGCAATTCCATTCATAAAAGCATATTCATTTCCAGATTTAACAATTTGAGTGCGGTTATAGCTCTGATTACATTTAAAAAAATCAACTCTAAGTTGCAAATGAGAGCCACATTTTAGGGATTAGCCCCTCCCATGTCCAAGAATAGATAAGCTCCTGAATGGCTGTGAAATACCCAACCTGTCAGTCAGCTTCCTCTATAAAATGGTTCCTTTTTCCCCTCTGTTAGCTTTCAACAGTTCCAGGATGATGACCTTAAATATCTAAACCAGCCACCCATTGTTATGGGCCATCACATCAGTAGGATCTCTAAAAGGAATACAAATATTCACCCTTTATACATTTTGGTCCTCAATATCTACTGTCCTGTAGGTTTTAGATTCCCCCCTGCTCCAAACACAGCAGAATCAAATGAACAGCTTGTTACCAGGCTTTTGCCAAGCTTAATGGCATGTAAAGAGGTAATTAGCTGTGTTGGAGCAGAGATGCATCTAAAATCTGCAGCACAGTAGATCTTGAAGACCAAGGTCAGATACCCCTGTCTTATGCTTTATGGAAGCTTCTCAATAGGAAACACTCAGGAATATCTGAAGAAGTCAATGTGACTGTTTGTCATAAGCCACGTTACAGACCCCGTTAACTTTTGAAATGAGGCACTGTGGTCAGATAAGACCAAAATAGACAGCTTGGCCTACATTCACATCTCTATGCAGTGCATAAAAACCAACACTACATCCTGAACACATCCCCCACGTGGTGAAACACGGTGGTGGTAGCATCATTTCACGAGGATGATTTTCTCCAGAAAAGGCCCAACAGCAGGACAGAAATGCACCTAACTATCTTATGAAAGAAGCTAGATGAGCAAAATTACATGTTTCATGGTAAAGTTAAATCTGGACCTAATTACATGGAAGAAGCTGTGTCATCTGATCTAGATTTTCACGTGCCAAGTTGTGGTGCATTGTAGAAAGCTGAATAAAGGCGGCTGCGGCAAAGTTCCAGCTAATAATTCGTCCCCCAAGGCAGGACTGTAGGTCCTCAAAGTACTGCTAAAAGCCGCCACCCTCCAGACACAGCTCATGGAGTAGATCTAACTGGTTCATTGTCTGGAGAATCTGGTCAACACTAAGGGTGTGCAAAATAATCGTCATATCGATGCATCGCGATTCTAATTTTTGTGATCTACTGCATCGATTCTTGCCTTCAAGAATCGATTACTAAAAAAAAAAAAAAAATGAACAAATAAAATACATGAATGGTTGGCGCACATCAGCCAAACCAAGTGGAATACAACTTCCAGTCCAGCAGATGTCGCTGCGAATGTGTTGACGCCAGCTGCTTTGTGTCACAAGCATTTCCGGCCGTGGGATACTGCGACGAGTCAAACATGGAGGACACTATGAAAATTCCCTTTGCAAAAGGGGAAATATACAGTTGAATGTTTTCGTTTTATTGGTTTAAAGGTCCACTGAGGCCATGTAAACGGCACTGATTATCCTTATTTTGTTATTTTAATGAATTTGATGAATCCTAAGATCTTTTTGTCAGTGTGTCCAGGCCAGTAAAAGTAATATTTGTGTTCAGTATTTGTTTTCATGGCAACACCTCCAAAAGTCGTTTCAATAAATAGAGCTATGTATGAATTCAACTGCTTTCAGTTATGTATCAATTGAAGACACGATCCAGATCACACCCAGCCAGTCAGCCACTAGTAAGGGCTGTATCTTTTTCTTACAGTGTTCAGTGAAAATATCGCAATGCATCGCAATATTTCAAGTATCATGATGCATCATGATAGAATCGCATCGTAGCATGTGAATCGTGATTCGAATCAAATCGTGACTTCTTTTCCAATACCCACCCCTAGTCAACACAGAGACACGTTGAATCACACCTATTTTATGACCTTTCCTATATCATGTCTAAAACATGTTGTTTTAGTCTGTTATCTTCTAACCCTAATGGCACAGAATTTACCCTTAAACCTAAAGAAGTCTGTGGTGAAAGGTATGCAGCGTCCCCTTGGGCCAGAGTATGGCGTTACGCCTCTAAACAGCAAAAGAATATCCTCCGATTCGTTTATGCCGTGCAGCAGCAGAAGTGGAGTGACTTTAAAAGGAAAAAAATGTTTTTGTTAATACATTTTTATTTTTAGATTGGACGGTTTTAAAGTTAATTTTTGTCACTTCTGCTTCTAGATTCTTTTACATCCAAGTCAAATGTTCAGTATTTTATTCATCATTTGATTTAACCAACAAAATGAGCAACCTTGGAAAGAAATAAAAAAAATAAATATGGTGGTTTGGATTATCTGTAGATAGCTTTATGCACATGTTTATGACAAAATGCAGCTTTAAAATAAAAAAATTAAATATTTCTGTAAATGCATTTTCATGTGCAAATTTGACATTTCAAAATGAATTTGAGTCACTTTGCTGACCAATCATATGAAAATGAAATGTAAAAATAATTTTATTCAAACTTTATTGCACAGTTTAAACGTATTTCTAAATTACGGTAAATTGTTTTGTTCCTATTCTTACATATGTTTTTTAGGATCTGATGGTGAAAATAAACACACTTTGGATATCAGGAATGTTTTAGCTCAATAACCATTCTTTGCTTTCAAGGTGTATGGGAGACTAAAGTCAGCAATCGAGAGAAGAGGCAACAGCGAAGGAAGGACAAAGGTTCAGAGGGTTCTGGGAGTCCAGGAAGTGTTGAAGCTTCCAAGCCTCATGTGGAAACCCCCACAGCCCCAATAACCAACAAGAAGAAAAGAGGAAACAATGGTAATCATCTGCTGAAGATAAGAATTGTTCTAATCATTTGTTCCAATAATGGTTCAGCCTGATATAAGTTTAACAAATGCCTTGTTTCAATTTTTATGTTTTATACAGAGAACCAGCATTCAAGACCAAGCGCAAAGGGAGACCCATCCAGTGGTAAAGGCAAAGCTGAGACATTTAGCTGTATGTATTTCTACCTAGTTTCTAATGGGTTTTGACATGTTGTATCCAACTGTTGGGAAGATAATCTTACTAAAAAAAACACATACATTTTATGCATCATGTACAAATAAATGTTACATCTATTTTGCTTAGTTTTCAGCAAACAAAACTGCATTAAGTTCAACAGAAATAGCATAGATATTTTAGGTGACTTTAGCTATGCTTTTGCCTCTTTTTCATCGTGTGCTGTTTTAGCGTCTTCCACATGGAAAGGGGAGCCCACCGTCAATGGTGGAGCCTGGGCCGACGGCTCATTGAAGGTCACTGGTCAGAGTGGATCTGCTGAAGAAGCGAAGTGGAGCTCCATATCTGCATCGGTACGATACCGGCCCCAGACTGACCCCAAGCCCTGGGCTCAGGAGCCTCCAGGTACCACCATGTTACTCTCACATGCCTTCATTTATCTTAGTAGGATTTTTGAATAGTAAATGGATACATGTGCTGCATGAATCAACTCAAAAATACTTTATTAGTTGAAATAGGGATTGAATCATACATCTGGGATCAAATTCTTCCACCAGAGCGATGAATCTCTGCAGCTCCATTGGGCATTTTTATAGGCCTCTTGTTTTATAGTTAATACGCTTCATTTCCAAACTCTAAAGTTCAGCTGGACGCACATGTTATAGTAGTTTGTGCCCTACTTCTTCCGCTTGCAGATAATGGACTGAGCAATGCTTAGTAAGCTGTTCAAAGTTCAGGATATTGTTATCTTCAGTTTACTCCTCGAGTTGTCTGCTTCATTGTTTAATCCTTTGATTCTCTAAACAATATTTAATGCCTTCCTAGATCAGCTATTTATACTTACCATTAATCAAACACAAGTGAAGTCCTTTGGCTCTTTTGGGAATGCTAAAGGCAATTGATTGCAATCAATTTCATTATAGGTGTGTGATGGTAAAGTGTGCAAATAAAAGTGTATACTTTACATATGGGCTAGGTTTTATGACCCTTTAAGGCCCCGTCCACACGAAGTCAAAACGAACACGAAACGCTAATATTTTCCAGAACATTTGTCGTAAAGACGGAGACGTATAATAAATGTGATCGTCCACACGAATGCATGAAAACGCTGCAAAATGTATGCCAGGCCTGTAAGTGGCGTTGTCGTGCCAAAGCAAAAATAGGCGACGAAATGTTGGGCATGCGCACTAATATTTATACATGGTTGCCCTGCGGGTCCATTTTCGTGGTTCAGTGAAATTCAGGTGCTGAACTATGTCGTCAATATTGCTCTGTTCTTCCTGGAGATATTCCAGAAGAAGAAGATTCTGTTGTAAGCCCGACAGCAGGGTGAGTAGCATGAGCAGCAACCATTCAACACAGTACGACGCCATTGTTGTTGTGATACTGTGTCGTGCATGCATGTTTAGAGGCGACGCTATGACGCATGCGTGTAAAAAAATAAAAAAATGCCGTTAGATGGAAACGCGAAAACGGCGTTTCAGAATCTTCCCACTCTGAAGGCTGAATAAAAAAAAGATTGTTTACAGACCCCCGAAACGCCGGCTTCGTGTGGATGAGAGGCTGGTTTGGTGAAAAATGTGTGCGTTTAGGCCAGGGTTCGGCTTCGTGTGGACGGGGCCTAAATCTCTTCTAGTTCCAATAAGATGCTAAAAAAATTATATTTTGCATCTGCAGCAACTATGGAGATGGTTGCTTTTATTTAAACAAGTACAATGTTTGTTATCTCACTTTAAATATTGACATAATTGCTCTGCAAATGTTATTGTACCTCACATTAGCAATCCAACCATATCATTTATGCCTTGTCGTCACCTGTAGCTTGGAGCAGCACGGATGGCAAAATGAAGACGATGCCCTTTTCTGTGCTGCAGCTGAACTCCACAGGTCAGTGTTGGCTAATTAGCCCTATTGAAAAAAAAAATGTAATGCTGAGCCTCCTTTCAGAAGCTAGAATACATTCTAGCTTTTGAGTCATGCAAGATGAATATTGACCCACTTTTTCTCTTAGATCCAGCCTCAAATTCAGCTAAGATGCACTGGGTAAACCAAAGCAGTGTTGATGATCAGTGGTCAGGATTCAGTGAGTGGCTACACAACCCCCTAAGTTACTGCACCTTCTTTCATTAGGATGCTGTTCTTCATGTTTTCTCTGCTGCGTGTTTTTCAGAGGGTGCAGCTGTAGACTCTGCCTCTGACTGGAATGCCCCAGCAGAGCACTGGGGAAACTATGAAGAGCCTCCTATACTGGTGGCAGCAGAAACCCTGCAGAAGGATCAACCCAAGGTTTTGTTTAGCTATTTTACTCCCTTCAACACACTCCTGTTTTTATTGTGTATGCTAAACATGTATAAGGGATGATGAGGTCACTCATAAGTCTTAGGTCTGTGTATATTTTCTGTTTCATAGAACAGAATGTGTTCAGTAACCAGCAGCGGGGAACTAACATCAAATTCTTTTAAGGGGTTTTCTGTTTTCTTTTAAATGCATACCCTTGCATTAATATATAAAATGAAAAACCAACTAAAGAAAATAGTTTTATGTATTTAAAGACGTAACCAAACAAATACAGATATTTTCAAATGTTTTCATTTGGTTTTGAGCAGTGCCCTCTGCAGGCCGTATGACACACAAAAGAATAAGAATAAAATGGCTCTTGTTTGCTCAAATTAGGCTTGCATATGGGAATGAAAATAATTGTTACTGGAATAAAAATAAAATAAAAGCTAAGTACGTGGCTTTTGGGAACTTCTGTCTCTATTTGAATGTTATTTTATTTTAGTAATTTAGTTAAACAGATGTTTATTTTATGACTGACATTAATTTTTTCTCCAGATATTAATGCGTAACTTCCGTCCAAACCTCTAAAGGTTGATATTGTGTGTTTTAAAGAAATCGTCATGGTTGTCTTTTGTTTTATAGAAGATATCTGAAGATGAAAAGGACATTGATAATCCCTCAGAGGGGGCAGCTAAAGCTAAGAAGAAGAGGAACAAGAAGAAGAAAACAGAAGAAGAGCCTGTGCCTGATGCTCAGGTAGGAAACTCGGCTTGGGGCCCTCTCTTAAATCAGATATTTGGATCTAATTATTTCATTACTTAACCTGTTAATGTGTTCTGCTTTTGTTTGTTTTTTTTTTTTTTTTATATACGCAGACTCCAAGTGCAGTAACCAAAGCCCCAGAGCGTCCTGCACTGCCTCTGAATTCGCAGAACACCAGCATATCATCCTCTCAGAGTGAGTTTTTTTTTTTTTTTTTTTTTATAATAATAATAATAAACTATTCACAAGCTACTCAATCCATTCCTGTTTTAAAGGGTAAAACATCCACTCTAAATGTTCCTCTTTTGTTTCTGTCCTCCTCTCACAGAGAAGTCTGAGCAGACCATCGAACCTCAGAAACCCTCCCAGAAGAAAAGGGTCCGAAAAGAAACCTGAAGGAACAACACAAGTCTGGACCAACCTTATGCAAATGATTAAATGTTTCACAGGCAATAATTACCAGGTACATTTTTTTTTTTGTTTTGTCTTAGACAGGTACCATTTAGATGACGGCAAAGAACAAATATATGTTGTACAGCAGTGAAAGGTGGTCCTATGGACTGTTAATTGCAACCAATTTTGCACTATTTGCTAAACTGCAGCCAGAGGAAGAGTATCAGGTGGGCTTTTAGTAATACTACATGTTAATTGGTGTTTTTTGTTCCTCCTTTGTTTTTAAATCCAAAACGAGTTTGTGAAATTGTCAACACAGGTTTAACTTAAGGTTTAATTTAACTTTCTTGTCTTGCAAAATCAGAGTTGGGTTGAGGAAATGATGCACTTTGTTTTACTTTGATCTCCTGCCTCCTCACTGGGATGTACTTTTGCTAAAGGTAGAGAAGGATTTAATTTGGCTCTAACAAACAGCAAACCTGACATGCAAAACTTCCATCATACCCTGAATAGGCTGAAAGAGAAACCTTAGATCAGCTCTGTTGCTCAAAACTTTCAATGGTCTTTAAAAGAACTTTATTTTTAAATTGAAAACTCTTTAAAACATTAAACATATTTTTCTGGTTATTTCACAGATAAAGTTAGAAGTTAACAGAGAGTCATCATTGGTATGGATATTATATATTTTTAAACCTTTAATGATTTGTTTTTTTTATTGGTCCAGGTGAACTAATTTTATAAAATGCAGCTTTAATTATCTAAAATTAAGACTTTAAGATTTTACTTTTCCTTGAAAATTATACTCAAATTCTCATATATGCCCCTTATGATATTTGAATATGGGTCTCCAAGCAAACAGGAGGAAAGCTGCTTTTTTAACCTATTAACCCTTGTAATTCTGACAGGATATGTGATAGAAATATGGTTGATTCCTTATAATTTGCTAAGTTCCCTTTATAACATAACCTTCTCAGCATAGTCTGACATTTTCAATTGGGATTTTCAGAAAACTGTTGCACTTTTTGATCTATTCAGTGTTCAGTTTGAAAGGATTTTAGGAGATCAATGATTATAATGGATCAAATCATTCCTGTTTTATCAACCGCACGGTGTTCTGCTTTCAATTCTCAAGAAGTTGACCTGAGTTGAAAGAGTTTTTTTTATCTGTATTTTACCATCCAATTTTTACAGCACACTAGTAAAATCTGCAATCAAACACATCTCTTTCTAAGGCTGCCACTAGCTGGCAATTTGGTGTCTCACCTATTTAAATGAACTTAATACAAATATTTTTATTATTTTGGCCAAACAGATCTGCTTTTTTTCTTTTTTTTTAAACCATAAACCTTTTCTTTACTTTAAAATGTCAGCCTAGTTTAAAAATGTTAAAGTTGTTGCAGAAGCTTCATTCTTTTTCACAACTTTCTCAGCCATTGATAATGTAAAGCCATGCATTTTCAACCCCTACTAGTATGCAATGGGTTAAAATCTTGGTGGTTTTGGATAAGCCGAACTTTTCTAGTAAGTGTTCTTACAGGATAAAAATCACAAACGTGAATCAAAATGTATTTTGGAAAGAATAAGCAAGGATTTAAAGTCTATTTTGTGCCAGGAAAAAGGAAAACAACCAGTTTAAATATTAGTGGAGTGCTATCCACAGGAGATAAATGTTTGTAGATTCAACCATGTACTCCTATGTCTTTTATGGTATGAAAACTCCACCATGCAGAAGAAATGGGTTAAATGCATCGATAAAATTAGATAATTAGTAAAACATTTATGCCAACGATGACTGAATACATGCTTTTAACTGAAATGAAAACAAATTTTAAGGTATACTCTGAGGAAAAGGGAGATCATCTGTGAGAAAGCTTCATTATAAATACTTTCTTTATGATATAGTTTGCTGCAAAGGGTGTGAAATTCCAGTGGATTCATTCATAGTTCGTGCTTGATTGTTTTTTTTTTTATATACCTAAACCCATTCGTTTAAATCAAAGTTATCTTACTATTTCTTATTTTGTTGAAAATCGTGTAGGATGGCGTAAATTAAACTAAATTAAATCATTCCATTGATTCTCTTTTAGAAAGAAAGGATAATTATTTAAACAATCTGCTGTTATGTCATATGGATATTCTATAAAGATACGTTTGATTTCTTTAGGACATTCTTTAAAACGTTTATGTGTACAGACAGTCTTACTTTGCATTTTCAAATGAGTTTGGTCTTGTTATAGTAAAGAAAATTCATACTTTCCCAGTTATTTTTTCCACCCCACAGTTCGGGTGCGGCACATGTTGGGGTTTAGCTTGAACAAAATAAGTACAAATTTGGTTTAAGCTCCCCTGTGATCGCAGTAACTGGTAGAAGCCACCAGGAGGCACTGTAATTGAAGCCTAATGGGGTCAAGTGATGAAAGTGTGATTTATCTAAATGCTGTCTTTTTACTTCCAAGTTGTGGCGATGATTAAGTCTGTCCTTTTTTTCTAAGTAACTTGTATGCTTTTTAAAAAAACTAATTATTCTGCTCTCTAAATGACTTTTTACAAATGTTTCGTTCTAGTCTTAAACTAAAAAAGCCACGCCATATATATACATGTATATATAGATTGTAAGGGCTTTTTTCTAGGTTGTGATTACACTGTGAAAGAGACTGTATAGAAATTCCTTTTATTGTAAATTGATTGTTTTTAATCCTTTTCTTTTTAATGTGAAACACATTTTCTCCTATCAGGAAATAATTGTGAAGAGAAGCAACAAAAAAATAAATTAAAAAGTTTCTTTCAAATTGTAACATTGAGCAGTTTGAACTTTTTAATTCAAGATGAACTGAGAAATGTATGCACTCATTTACACAATTGTACATTTGCATTAAAAAGGAATTTATATCTTCTGCCTTAATCTGCTGTATAGAAAGTCAATGGGAGTCCTTTTTATGGTTTCCATCCATTTGCAAGTTTTGATGTCAGAATATTTTTTTTTATTTTTGTATTTTACTTGACTGTGGTAATGGTAGTTGCGGATAAAGATACATGAAGGACCAGTCTTTTGTGCTTTATTTTTTTTTCTAGGGTACATTTTTCTATAAATAACATGACATATTTTTTTTTCTTACTTGCAAACTCTATACTTTCTATGGGCATCCATTTTATCTGGCTTCTGAAGGACTCAAAACATTAAAATGTTTATTGGCTGTTGGTCATTAATGTTTATAGATCTGAACTGATGTTACACTGTGGCTTTGGGTGACCCTTTGTTCAGTTTTTACAGATGATTTTAATGTATTTATACAGTTGTGTGTAGAAGATCTTTTTGTGAATGATTTTTAAGAACATTATGATGATTTGTTTGCTTGAGAAGGAATTAAACAAATGCTTCTAATCACTTTGTGGATTTTATTGTGCCCGATGCCACAAATAAACATTTCATAAGGTAAAGCAGGCCGTTTGTGAAACACAATTTATAGACAAGGCAATTGAAATGGCTTTGTGTAAAAATCAAGTAACGGTATAAAAAAAGAAAATAAAAAAAAACATGCATCATTAGTATGAAAAAATTTAGTGTCACATGTACTCTGGTCTTGCGAGGACACAGACGTACTAAGCTGTCTGTTGTTGGCATACTGTACACAATTTAAGGGGTGTAGATTTCCCCCATCTTAAATAGAGAGTTAATAAATTAAACTGCCTCGAAAATGAATCTTTATGGAACCTGACAATATTTGTTCAAATTTATAATAATTAAAATATTGTTTGTGGTTTAAATGTACCATATATTGTATTTAGCACAGTACCAGACACTTCAGCAACATTTTATCTCTCTCTAACAGTATGTTATAATTATCAGCAGTGTCTAGCACACTGAAATCCAGTGGTACAGAGAAGTATTTAATTAAACAAGATCTCAGAGCAACCCCATATATAATGGATCAACATATCTGTGGCCCCACATAATTTTCAGTTGATTTAGTTTGATCTGTAAGATTCCTAAGAAGTACAAAGAGAAATAAAAATATATTTTTTGTACTTTTTTTGAATTGTTCTCTTTAATATTAATGAGAAACATACTGTCTCAGCAGAGTTATTGGTAGGCTTACAATTGTCATGGTTTTGGTTATGTTGTGCTTTACTTTGCTCCATGTTTCCTAGTTTTATCGGTTTAAGTCCTATTTTGTTGTAGTTTCTAGATTTATGTTAGTTCTCAGGTTTTTCTGTTGTATTCCTCTGTTGCCCTCTTCTGTGTTTTCATTTGCTCTCTCTTTGTCTCCTCACACCTGCTCCTTGTCAGCTCGCTAGCCCTGCCTTTTGTGTCAGTCAGCTACATATACTCTTCCTCTGTAGTCACTCCTTGTTGGTTCCTTGTTGTTGCTGGTCCTGTCGTCGCTGTTCTCTGCTCACCTCGTCTCTCCCTGGCTCCTTGTGCGTGTTTTCCCCTGATGTCTCCCTGGTTCTGGTTTGTGTTACATTTTTAGTTGGATTTTTGGATTTTGCCACTGTTATTGTTTGCATTAAAAATACAAGAAATCACCTCAGCCTCTCTGCCTCTGCATTTGGGTCCTCTGAACCACAACCAAAACGTGACAATCACTGTTGACTGATATCTGTTTGTATGCCCTAAACATAGAACTATCCTCAATAAGCTGAGAATCGACCCTTTGTTTTGGTCTGAATCTGTGTCAGCAGCCATGCGCTTCCCCTCTCTAGGCCGAACCACTGCCTCAGTCAATGTGGTGAGGCAGTCGCGTGGCATATTACTCACAGTGCCTGACCCCCTTTGCTGCATCTCTCTCTCTCTCTCCCTCCCTCTAGCTCCATCACTTATCTTTTAGTTCATTTAGGATTTAGCAGCTTTTAATCTCCCACATTATGTGCATTCGTCTGCAGCTCAGAGGATCATCACTGTATATTCTAATACTAACAGATAAAAAAGCAACTCTAAAAAAACACCTGCAATTATTTGGTCACTTTTCAATAACTAAATACTTTCAACATTTTGGATTTTCAGTTATGTTAGAGCCTAAGCTTTCTACAATATTTAAATATGTGGAAACAGAAAAACTATTGAATTTAGATGTGTTTGAGTGAACATTGAATGAGGCAGTTTTGCTATTTTAGAAGAGGAAAATCCCAAATCTGGCATTGACGCAGTTCCTCTGACAGAGCTTAGCGCTGTGTTTACTGGTGGCCCATCTGTCCAGCTCGGATCAGGACATCTGCACTTGACATGGGAAGAAGTCCGATCTCTCTGCTCAGATGTTCGAAAAATGAAAACATCTTTGGCAGGAAATTATTATTGGGGACAAATAAATGAAAAAAGTAAGTTTGTTTGTAAATCTGTTTGAGTTTTTCTTCAGCAGGTTAGACAGGCAGTTTAAAAAACCAGGTTAATATATTGCCATGAAAAGGTCTGTCCACTTACAAATTGCATTCGTCTTCTTGTCTTAAAGATCTTTAATTTCATTTTAATAATAAATAGATTTATCCAGAGTGAACAGAAGATACCTAAATTGTTTTTGAATTATAATTTTACTTAGAGAGAGAAAAACATGATTATTGAAACATTTTGAGGGAAAATGTTACCATTATTGCGGTTTAACTTCAAGCCAGGCCTGATTGTTGTCTTACTTGTCAAATCTGACAACAAAAAATAACTTTTATCTAAACAAGCAAGAAATCATTAAAAATAGGTTAGAAACAAAGGCAGACATACAGTATATTAGTCCAGAAAGCCCTTTTTAATACTGTAGAGGTTAATAGACTGTAAGAGAGAGAGATTTTAAGGATTGCTTGGTCTACAAAAGAGACACCTAGAGTTCATCAACTGCTTATGTTATTATCAGACAGTAAGAAAGAGACTGGCTACCAACATCAAAGATCCATCTTCAATTTTACATATTACTGATAACCGAGGCTTTTGTGAGAATGTTCTATAGACAGACAATAATTTCTTTTCTTTTGAGGTGATGTTTACCATTGAAGGTGGAGAGCTAACATGATATTTTATATCAACAGTCAAACACTGATCATCCTTTGCTTCTTCAGGATTTTGTCAACTTGTCATAGTTGGTGGTACCATGAATTTTGTACAATAACACAAAATCCTGAAAATCAGCAGGACAAAGATCCTTAGAACATGAGCAAGTTCACCTGTAAATACCTCAAATAAAGCAAAATTAAGGTTTTATGTTGGCCTTGTCAGAGTCTGGTTATAATTTATTAAATCCCATCCAATCTGGCAAAATTAGGACAACTCTGCAAAGAAGAGTGGGCTAAAATCCCCCAACAGTGATGTAAACGATGACAACAGTTGAAAACATGGAAACAGTAACAGTTTCTATAGAATTAAGACAGGTGTTGATTGTTTTTTTAATGAGCTATGTCATTTTTAGAAGAGGAAAAACCCCAATCTATGACACACTTCACTTTCAGCAGCACAATTATCTATCGTATATCAGCAAGTCCACCTTAAATAAATTAAGGTCATTGAGTAGCTTAATGAAGCCAGGACCTAGATCTGAGATGCTGTGCCATGGCCTCAGAAGTAAAGCAAAATCATAACTTGATAAATGTATTTTATATTTACTAACATTAACTTTAACTGATAGTAAATGTTTTATATATCTTAAAAAATTTAGGTTTGCTTAAAAGACAAAAAAAAAAAGAACAAATCTGTAATGAGAAAAATATATTCTATCATTATATATATTTATTTCTGTCAAGGTTTGTTGGAGGTTGTTTGAGGACCCAAATGCAGAGATGAGTTTTGTTAATATAATAAGGACTCACAGGTAACCAAGGCAAAAATTGCTGGAAAATACCAAAATATTGAAAATTAAAATCTAAGAGACATCAGGGCAAACAACATGAGGAGCCAGGGAATTACAGGGAACCAGCAAACAGTGACTGAGTAGGAGGTGTAGAAATGGGAGACTGAACAAAGACCAGGCTTATCAGCAGATCGGGAGCAGGTGTGGACAGAGGAATTAAGAAGGGAGCTAGGAGAAGGAGACTGACAAGAGGGTAAACTGAACCAAAAAGTACAGAATCATGACAATTTCAGCAATCACCCCAGGTACATGGAAGCTGGTCAGTTTATGGAAAGAAAAGGAGAGTTAAAGCTGATGATAGATGGAAGAAAAACTTCCAGCAGAATAAAGATCCTAAACACCATGGGCAGTTTTTGTCAGGGGCAGACAGGGGTCGATGCCCCTGCAATACTGTTCCCAGCACCTGTTATGGCCCCAGTACTGAAAACACAAAGTGCAAAAATGTAGATGTAAGTACATTTTTCTTGAAATAGGTTGTAAATTACCTTCGTTCAAGCAGGAAGGTAAAATTTGTGGATCAAATAGGATGATTTAAACAAAAGAGAAACACCTGCTTACAGATACTTACGCCATTGTCCACATTTGAGAAAATGTCTTTCCCATTTTTATACATAAAAGTTGAATTCAGTGTGTAAATACGCAAGCATTACTAAAGCGTTTGCAATAAAATGTGTTTATTAATAGCAGGAAGGGGAAAATACATAACAAAGGTGAACATGAATATCTTATGTGATTTCAAACATTCCCAGTGCTTAATCTTCATCATTATCCCTCTCTCATTTTGGCCTGGTCACGTGATCGGAGGATAAAGCAGATTAACGGTTCTCCCTCTGCCTCTCCGCCCGCACGACTCAACTCCGTGGGAAGGAGAACACATCAGACGTCCGCTGGATGCTGCGCTTCACCAGCCTCTGACTCTATACATCAAATATTGTTGTTAGGGGGGGAGCATTCATGTATTAACCTTAAAAACACACTCATACACACACAGTGCGTTAATAGAAGATGATTTCTCCGTGGGACCGGTGGTACTCGACGAGCTGCTGCCTGTGCTGCCATGTCCGGACGGGCACCATTATTCTGGGAATATGGTACATGGTAAGCTCCAGGCTTTTTTTTCTTCCCTCTCTCCGCGAATTCGTGTAGCAGGGAGAGTCGTTGCTCGTTAAAATATTTTACCAAATAAGATGGTAGCTGTCAACAACGCTTACTGCTTAGTTGTTTTTTTTGTTTTGTTTTTTACTTTGAAATGTTTCGGATGCCCCGAGATTAACGACCGTTAGGCAGGGCTGAAGTTAGCATCCGCCTCGCAGGTGTTTCCCTCCATAAAATCTAAAATAACTCAACTTTTAATTGAATATTAATGGGGTTTATAAATAAAAAAACTTGGTGACCTTTAATTGTGAAACCTTTATTACATTTATGAAACTCGTTTAATCTTTTTTTAATCCAACCAATCAGATAGCAGCCCAGAATGTTCTATTAACTATTAATCGATTAAAAAAAAAAATCAGATTCTATAAACTAGTGGTGGACTGTGTCATCTTCATACAATTTGTAAAATGTATATTTAAAAAAGAGAATTATTCTAAATTTTTTGTTTTTACCACATTACATACCATAGATTTAATCATCTTCCCAATTTGCTTAGAAAATTACATTTCAAGGTAGATGTTTTTACCTTTTGTTTATTTAACTCTAGTTCGTTTTCTTAGAAACTTTAATGTGATTACTTCTTTTGCTTGTTAAGTAACTTCTGTTTTTACTGAAAGGATGACCTGCAGTTTTAAACACAGTTCAAATTAAGCCCTTTTAAATCCCTGACCTTTGGAAATCCTCCTTCCTTATTTCAGATTGACCTGCTATTATTATCAACACTTTAAAATAGATGCTGGCATATAAAAAGAAGTAATCAGCTTTTACTTCTTTTTTACTTCAAGCTTATTCTTGGCCATTTTGTAAATCATATTTGCAGTATGTATAAAACCTCTCTGTGTAAAATCAAATGATTATTCTTAATAAAGTAAATTAAGTATCTGTTAGAAGACTATTTGAAAATAAAATGCTTAAATAACTATGGAAATAAAACCTAAAGCACATTTTTAAAATGAAGGCAAGCTAAGTTTTTTTTAACAGCTTCGTTCATACAAAGAGGACAGTTATGAAAATTTAATGAGCTGATAAAGCAATCTCAGACCCTTATTGAAATGTTCCAGTAAACCCTCAGGTTTTAAGTCCTGTTTTTTTTTAAGGAGACACCTCTATAAGCATAAACTTAGGTCCATTCCAAAACACTTTGGTCACACACAAAAACCTCACAATGAACATGTAGTCAAGTATGAAAAATATTGAATAAAAGCAGATTTTCTAATCTCTTTTGACGACAATAAAACTTGAGATCCTGACGTGTAAAGGCATTTATTATTACTATTTATTGAGCAGCTTGTGCAAAAGCAGGTTTTTCTCTGGTTGCTTTGGCTACTCCCACCTGTCCTCCACAAAAATAAATTATTGGTCACTTTCATGGTGTTAGCAACTCCATGCTTGATTGTCTGTAACCTTCTTTTCTTGGAACTAAGTGCAGTTTATGACTAAAACATAAAAAAAATCATAATGCAATCTGTGACTCGTAATGTTTCCACTGACCAAAGATTTTGCACTGAAATATTTGTTTATGTTATCAAGCACAGCAACGTAAAAAAAAAGGATAATCATCTATCTTTTTTTACTCCATAGTCTAGCATTGAAAATATAAAATGAAATACAAGAATTACATTTATTTTGTTGCATTTATTCATTTTGCAATTAATTCCGTAGAAATGTAAGTAGAAAAAAAATTCTAAATCAACCATACCACAATTATTAATATACCAAATCTTTCCTGGAAAAAAAAATAAAATTCTCAGATTGTCAAGGGACTCATAATCGGTAATCTGTGAACTGCAATATCTGAGGTTATTCATTTTGAATAACACAGAGGCCCAGTTTTCTTTACCAAGCTTAAAAAATGGGGAAGATAAGACAAAATGCCACTAAATTAAGAGTTGTATGTTTTGTATTCATTTGCACAAATTAAATGAGGCCATTTAACTGTTGTTTCAGGTTAAATAATATCTAGCACTGCGATAAAGAGTTAGTTTTGATGTTCATTTACAAAAGATGGTGATGGTAATAAATGTGTACATATTTTTATAACAAGTCTGGAAATTTAAGCTGCTGATAATATTTAATATACAGTTTTAGAAAAAAAAAAATGGCCACCCTTTTAACTTCAGTATCTTGTTCTTTCTTAAAGGTATAGTGGAATAATTTGGAATAGTTATGCAAATTTGTAAAAAGACCCACTTTAAAAAAGAAATGCTCATGCACGACCCTGTACCCCCGCCCGAGAGGGAAGGTCTATTTAACACGTGCAAGAGCATGCACAAGCCCATTTCTCCTCGTGCATGCTCTGTTTAAAAGTTGCTGTTTGCATCACTCATGCAACCTTAGTTTCCAAAAGAAAATTTGCAATTTTTCCACTATGTCAGACTGACCACTGGTAAGTGAAAATGGCAACGAGCACGTAGGACTGCTTTACGTAAACATATCACCAGAATGGTTGACAATTAGGAGGCCCACTAATTTGATGATCAACCTGGAAAAATAACATCCTCCACTATACCTTTAATAATGCAATATTAAAAAAGAAAAAAATTATTGGACTCAACATTTATTCCATTTTCTTTTTTTTTTTTTTTTCTCGTATGCCTACCTGCACCTTTTCTTGTCTTAAAATTTGCTTTAAAAAGTTGAGAAAGAATCCAATGCATTACTCTGAAAATGTTTTAGTCTTAAAAGGTGACATTTATAAAAAAGAAAGAATTATTCAGCATGATTATTTCTGGAGCTTTATTATAATACAGTATTATATCTGTTTTTTTGTTTGGATGATAATACCTTTTTTTTCAGTATCACAAATACTGTGTTGTTTCAGTATTATTTAATTCAGTTTATAAATCTTCAGTTTATATCTTGGGATATCATTTGCTTATTTAACGGTGGATTCAAACTGAACCTAAATTGGAGGTATTGATTTACATGTTATTTCTATGTGAATTAATGGTTGGTGATGTATCACAGAATAAGCTGATACTGATTTATTTTAGCTATTTGAAGTGAGGATGAGAGGCTAAATCCTTTTCTCTGCCTACATCCCCCAGCATGCAATATGGTTGATTCTATCAAACATCTGTTGGACATTCTTCATAACAAAAATAATAAAAATACCTGTTTCCATTCCCACATGGTAACAACAGAGCTAGCTTTTTCGTAACATGATACTATGGAACAAAATGTTTTTATTTTTCGTTAGTTTAATTGAAACGCTAATCATTTAATCGGTTTATCGATAGAGATCAATGTATTGTTACACCCCTGATGGCATTAAAATATTTTTAATTAATTGTTTTTAAGCAACAATTTAGAATATATGAGCTTTCCAAAAGATATTTGAAATTTTGCCAGCCTTTTGATAAGTAATTTTTCCTCAGGCATATTCAGCTCTCACAGTATCTAAAGATTCACCCTTTTTAATATTTTTCTTTCTGCTTGCAGATAATCAATGCAGTGGTCCTTCTTATCCTATTGTCAGCTCTGTACGATCCAGTTCAGTACCGGTACCACCTTACCAGCTCTGAGTTGGGAACTGACATCGATGTTATGGACGATGCAAGTAAGGGCCCTATGTTTGGTATGTTTTTGAGTGAGACAAGTGATATGAGAAAATTTGCTTCTTTTCTTGTATTTAATACAAAAGCCTGTCTCTTAAGTATTCTGTCTCGATAAAAGTCTGCATACTTTGATGGATCTCCTAGTTCTACTTGACTGGATTTGTGCTGTTTAAATGTTGGGTCTTATGTGTCAGTAGGGACACAGCTGAGTTAGCTGCTCAGTGCTGAGAACAAATCAGAGCTCTCCCTGCAGCGACAGTCATCATCACAGTCGCCTCTGCAATACTGCAGACACTGACCAAAGCAGCTGATTAAAAATGACTGCTCTAATTCTCAGATTAAAACGGCCATCTTGACTAAGTCCCCTTCCAACATGTTTTCTCTGCACTTGGAAAACACTGAGAGCCAAAGAGAATTCTTAGACAAAAACATAAGGCATTGTTATTTTGTAGTGTTTGTTTAACTATATTTTACCACCTCTACTGATCATATATGTGGAAATTTCTGATAGTTTTCACTTTTTTAAACACAATTTTGGAACTTATTGGTAGGGATTGCTGTTGTATAATTTATTATATAACTAGATGAATAACTATATAGCAATAGACTTATTATGTTTGCAAAGCCCTACTTTTGATTCTGTGAAAGGATCAGTACATTCTGCATTAATTTAAAGATATGATTAAATGCCATTACTCTGTATTAATCAGTGTTGTAATTTTTCTCCAAATACAACTGTTGCTATGAGCTAAAATTTAAAGTTTTAAAACAATTTTGAAAACCTTAAAAAATCTTCCAAAAAGTGCCACAAAGTTAAGTCCACAACATCCATCCCCATTCATTGGTCATTGCAAGAGGTTTATTTAAAGTGGTGTTAGATAAGCGAAGGGTATTTCATACTTCAGTTAAAACCAGCTGACAGTTTTTGTAATCATCCTTTATCAAATAATTTTCCAAGTGATTAGATATAGGTTTTACTCGCTACACACTAAAAAAAGGTTTAAAATTTAGCCCTTGAACTAATGTAATTTTACAGGCATGGAGTAATTCTGTGGCTAATGAGACAAAACAGTGTAATTTTCAGGGTTTTCATACTATACGAAAAATAAAGATAAACAACGTCAACAACCTTAGAATAAAATAAAAAAAAGATATTTTTTAGGGTGCCAAAAATGTCAGATCATGCTTATATATTTAGACATTTAGGTGTGGAACAGTCTGGAGCCTAGACACAATGCTATTCATTGGATAGCTCAGTGCTACACTAACAGTGACAAGTGGCTCATCAGTGAGATTTGAGAAGGTGTTAGATTTTGGTAAACTTAGCACCTCTTACATAATGCTGTTGGTTATGATCTATGCAAAGTAGACTGACGACAGAGACTCCTTAAAGTGTTTAGTTTTGTGATGAAGCTGTCACCCTGTGGCGTATTCATTCATGGTTCTTTTACACTATGACTCATCCACTCATCTGAAGGCTGGAGCTCAGTGTCTTGACATTCCATCATGTGGCGAAAGATAAAATCAGACCTACAGCCTTTATGTTATCGTTCAACTTGTCAAACTACAATTTAGGTGATAAAACAGACATTGTTTTTAATCATAGGAAATGTATTTCTATTTGTTTTGTGTTACAAACCGTAGCATCATTCAGAGCGTCAACAAAAAAAAAGAAAACAATATAATATAGAATCTGATTACTTTATAATTCAGAAACCAACTTTTCTGTGAAGAAGATTTGAGCAGATTATACTTACTGATCAACACAAATTTTAAGGGATATAACAGCACTAAAAATATTTATTGCTAGCTCGCCTGGTTTAGATGATCATTAATTATAAGTCCAAATTTACAATGTGATATAAAATAGTTAAATTTATTAGAGTTGATATTTTCAACACACATTAGCAGCACAACTGTTATTTATAGGAAGCGTTTTTAAACTCAGCATGTTTTAAGGCAGAAAAGGCTCTTTAAGATAAAACATTTTTACTTCTTACAAGAATTCTGCCCTTTTTTCTTCACATTATGAACTGCAGACATTCGTCACTGTGTTACAGAAAATTCTGTTTCTATTGAAATGGTTTCAAACATCTCTGCCTCTTTCATGTTTGTTTTTAAACTCCTCATTTACACTAAAAATAGCTTCTGGTAGCATCGTCCACAATTAAGGTTGTTGTTGTAAGTGAAACCTTTCAAGGCTTATATGTTATGCAAGTATAGTTTAAAAATAATCTAATTCTAGTCCCTGTCTGTTTTCTTAACTCCTCTCCAGTTCACATGATGTATGCAGCTTTGCCCTAACATTAACTGTTTTGCTTTTTTTTTCTGTTGAAAATAAAAGATTTCTGAATGTCTCAAAGCAATTTCCCTTTTTTAGCATGATAAATGAAATTCACATAAAGTATTTTCTGTTGTCAGATAAGCTCAGATTGAGCGACATATCTTGCAGAGAGTCTCCAGTGTTTGCAGTGTAAATAAACAAAGTTAGGATTTCCAAAGCCTGTGGCATATTCCAACACCTTTATCAGTGCAATCCTAACTGTAAATGAGGAAAAACAAAATCATCTGTTGCACCTGTCAATACTGAAAGTGCTAATCATGTAAGCATCTTGAGTCACAGTTCTTAGGAAGGTATAAATAATGTATTTCTAATTTTGTCTCCCACCCTAACAGATATCTGTATTGCAACAGCTATATCCCTTCTCATGATACTAATATGTGGGATGGCAACATACGGTGCTTACAAGGTAAATAGGAATAACAAACGTGAAGTAATCTGGCTTTAAAAAAATTTGTTACTCTATTTAATTCTGATCTCTCATTTATAGCAACACGCCGCTTGGATCATTCCATTTTTCTGCTACCAGATCTTCGATTTTGCCCTTAACACACTGGTGGCCATTAGCGTGGTGGTTTATCCCAACACTGTGCAGGACTATCTGCAGCAGCTGGTGAGTGGTCCATATCCATATGGGTTTGGGAGGTTCTTATATTATGTTTTGAATCAATAAATGTCTTATTGCGGCCATAACTGCTTCATGTGCTTGCCTAATTTATTGCTTAAGCCAAGTATTTCTGAAAACGCATTTAGTGAAATGAAAGCAAGCAGACATAACATTAGACAGCAGCCATGTTGAATCATGTTGGACCATGTTGGATCATAATGACCTCTGCTCAAAAGAAACCCTTTTTTAAATTCTTTTTCTTCTTTGTTTCCATTTCTGTTTAACATTTTTCTATGTGTCTCTCATTTCCAGCCGGGGACATTCCCTTACAAGGAGGACATCATGTCCACAAACAATGTGTGCCTAGTCTTTGCAGTTCTGCTCTTCATCGGCTGCATCCTCTCCTTCAAGGTAAGAGCTCTCAGTCTCTAAAATATTCTGACTGAAGTGAAACTAGTGCATACAAAGCGGCTTGAAAAAGTTTTCAATGTCACAAACTTTTTCACTTTTTGTAAAATAAAAGCCTCAAACATCTATGTGTTATACTGGGATGTCTTTGATAACCCCCATAAAAAAAGTAATTAAGATTAATAAAGTGGAATGAAAAGTATTCCTCCATGCATCCAGTTAGTAAAGTATCTGCAAGCTCACCGGTGCCAGCTCTGCAATCAAGGATTAAACAGTGGCATGGACCCTGGACAGGTTGTCAGTTTACTGCAGCGCTACACAGATTCACCCAGCACACACAGCTTAATTTGAAGCGGTCATTTAACCCCACATCTATGTTTTTGGACCATGGGGAAAAACTATTAATTAGCAATGAAATAAATAAAACAATTTACAATCAACTTTCCTCCAAAGTCCCCCAACTGAGAAAGAGTATCCACCTATGTGTAATTAAACCTCTTTAAATAAAACTGTTTGTTAAAACCCTCAGAGGTTTGTTAGAGAGCGTTTGTAAATAAACAAAAGGCTGAGGAACACAGCACACCGGTCAGGGATAGAGTTCTGGTCACTGAGGATTCTCCAATCTATTATCAAAAATACAAAGAGTATGGCATAACTGTTAAAAAAAAAAAAATTACTTTCAGGAACACCAAGAAACTGACAGCCTGAATAAGAGCATTTGTCAGTGAAGGAGCCACAGGGCCCATGGTAATAATAGTAATAGCTTCAGCAATTCACAGCTCAGGTGAAAGACTCTGTCAACAAGACAACTATTAGTCACATACTTGACAAATCTGACTTTTATGGAACTATTTGCAGTTTGTCAGGATCCATTTAGCAGATACAGCAAACACGTTGAACATGCTCTGCTCAATATGACCAGACAGTATGAAATATGTCACAAAAATTCAGCACTGAATGCACCCTTTACATAAAAGCCTTCCTGCTAGACATGGTAATGGCAGCATTGTGGTGTGATTTTGATGTTCTTCTATAGCGGCAGGGAAGCAAAGTGGATGGGAAGATAAACATATAGCTCCTAAGTGGTGGAAAGGAACATCTGGAGGCGTTATGCTAAATCAGCTACAGATATGAGCAATCCCTCTTTCCTTACAGCCAGAATAAGTTGGACAGCACATATCCTGGTGACTACTGATGTACCTCAGCTTTGTCTTAAGTGTCCTTTCTGATCTACAGAAAATGGACCTCGAGGACTGGAATGAAAGATCCTTTTTTCTGCAGAATGAAATTCTAAAGATGATCTATTTAACTTTGAGGTTGTAACATGTCAACATGTGAAGAAATTCTGTATGATTATCATACGTCATCCGGTAGAAAAGATTTAGTGTCACATAATCCTTTTCGCATAGCAGCAGGAAATATATTGCGTTTATGTACTCTGCTGATGTGGCTGTTCTGATTGTCAGGGGTCTAAGTGAGGAGGTCACACAGTCAAAGAGCAGAGGGTCATAAACGTCAAGAATCCAACTCCTGTCAAACTAATTTTCCCTGCATGCATGGATGACTCTCCAGGCGCAGCTACACTAAGGCTCTGGGATGAGATGGGGCATAGAGTTGCAGTCATCTGTACAATCAAATCAAGTTGTTTCTCCTCTAAGCTGAGATTAGAACTGTTCTCGGCAGATATCCAAACCAGAGCCCTGGATCTTATGACAGGAAGCAGCCATTGGAAAACAGCCCACAGTCAAAACAGTCAGAAATGTCGTGTTTTTGACAGGAAACTTTGATTATGATTATGGAGCCAGCAAGTAACTCTAAAGTTAGATGATCAGGGCATTGGCCACAGAAGATGCTTCTATTCTTTCTACAGAAATTCACTGAGACCCTCAGTAAGCACCAGATGTTAACGCTCAAGGACTCCCTCGGCTCTCAGGGTGAAGTGAACACCTGCTGACATTACTCCTCAAGCCAACATCCTTCACTTGACTGCACTTTGCCGAGATGACACAGGCAGATGGCGAAAAAAGAAAGAAACTGGATGAAATGATGATAGGAGATGAAATAAAAGCTAATTTAGTATTATTTAAATTGTCTGCCTAAAAAGAGTAAAGAGATAGAAACTGCCAAACAGGATGAGAAATGTATAGAATGCAAATGAAAGGAGTGCAAATTCACATCTTTACTATACATTGGAAATTGAATTGGGGACAGAAAAGCAATGTAAGGGGAAAAAATTAACTCTTGGGCAAAGATAAATAACAAACGTGTGCAAACCGATGTTGACTCAATTGACCTTACTCTTGTGATGCAAAGAGAAGGAGGTCAGCTCAGCAGATGGTAAAGTGATTGGCTTGCAGTCTGCTTGGCTTCCTGGTTGATTGCTCCTGCTGCTGGCAGGGGCACCGACTCAGCAGGCTAATCACACATACACACACAATGAAGCTCCTTCTTTTGCCAAGGTGGAAGCCACCCTTTCATGCAAGCATGGCCTCAGTAAATCAGGAAGTTGCCTCTGGTATAACTGCAAAGGTTCAATAAGGTGGACGGATTTGTCCTGAATGTTCTTCTAAGACCTTGTTTTTGTTTTTTGTTTTTATTTATTTTTTTACAGGCCTATCTGATTGGTTGCGTGTGGAACTGCTACAGGTATGTGAGCGGCAGAGGCACCACAGAAGTCCTGGTTTATGTCACTACAAATGACACCACGGTAAGTCCTCACATTCACTCACTTTAAAAAATAGATTAATAATGCTTTCACCATCTTAGAGTTGACCCTTTTGCCTGATGGGGTCTCAGTTTATGTTATAAGCTGTTTTTTGTTTTTTAAATCAGGATTTATAAAATTAAGATTAAGTGCCTGTCTGAGTGGGGTTTAGGTGAAAACACATTGAATGTGCTGAAAGGTGGTGAAAATATACAACAGTTTGACCAGTTTATCCAGAAATAGTTATCAAAATGTCATAACCCCTTCATATGACCAACATATTTCTTTGAACGCCATACATATTGTAAGAAGAGACAAAATGTTCTTAAATTACATAGATTAATGTTTCATTAAGTGTATTTAATAATGCTAAATATCTTAGCTATTTATAAAGAGTTTTTATAATGAGAAACAAAAACCTTTGTGATTAAATTATAACCTGATTTTGAAATCCAATCAGAAATAGGTGGTAATCATGTGCTGTGTTTCAGACTTAATAAGTGAGGTATATAGTATTTGTTCTTTCCTTTTTACGTGTGCAGTTGGACTCAGTGATCTGTTCCATTTCCACCCTTCAATGCAAACTCTGTTTTGTTTCTAAGAGGCTTTAGCATAGTCATGGTTTCCATGTGTCCGTGGTGTTTATAATCATCCATCCTGATAGATAAGACATTAATCTGCCTCACACCCTCTGTCTATTCCATGTGCAGCACTTTATCTGTTTGTCTTTTTGTCCTTGTGCTTCAGCGGCCACCCTTCATGCTGATGATGCTTTCCTCCTAAATACACAACTCCAATTACATCCGCTAATCCAGCTAGCTCTGATGTCTCACACTGTGCATCATATGGGCCTTCAGACAATCTTAGATATCTGTTGTTGACTTGTTTTTTCACTCCAGTATCATTAAAAGAGAAAAGTAGTAGGGCTTTTAGAACGATGGTTTTGATTTTAGTATGGAGCAGCTAAACTGCACTGACAATTATGTCTTGCAACAAAAAAAACAAAACAGTAAATGGAACCAAATAAAACACAAACAAACTATGAAAGCATCTGTTTCACTAATCCATGATGCACAAATCCACATATCACATGCAAATGATCATTTGTGCTGCAAATATTTATAGTAAAACAATGAGGATGAAAACAGGGTTTCCAGGCTGGGGTACAGAAACAATGCTAGAAAAAATACTGAGTATTTTTTTATTGTTTTAATCTGTATATGATCTATAATTACTATGTAGGGACTATACAGTTCAGAAAATGAAGTGTTAATGTGTTTTAATCCAGCCCAGATTGGATTAATCTTATTATAGATTATAGAATCATTTGAGCCAAACTAAAATGGTCCAAGAATAATATCTATTGGTAGGTAAATATGTTGCAACAAAAAAAAAGTAAATGGAACCAAACAAAACACAAACATTGCATTATAAGAGTTCTTTTTTTTGGTAAGAATTATTATAAGAATTGTTGTTGTTGTTTATTACACTGAAAGTGGTTCTGTTGGGATAACTAACTGACCATTAATAAATGATGCTGATGCTAGAATAGAAAAAAACTGTAAAGGTATCATGTGCATTTTGGTTTTTTGGTTTTTAATATATGCAATGCTTTTCCACAACTGATGATGCTTTCTTACATTGTTTGGGGTGTTTATTTGCCTTTCATTTTTAGCTCAGAAGGATGGATGCATACATATCCATTCAAGCTTTTAAAGGAATTTATTTTCAAAACGAAAGCACATTTTGTTATAGCTATTCAAAAGAGCAGTCAAAGATCTAGTGTAACCAGGCCAAGTGAAGGCCAGAGCTTCTGCTGCTTGCAGTTTAATCACAGAGGTATGAAAGAGCAATTTGTTTTGGAATGCAGCAGATATCTGAAGCAAACAGCAAGATTAAACCAATTTAAGATTGGACTAAAAACATGCTTTTTATCTATTTACTATTATAAAAAAAAAAAAGAGTCCTCTGCTTTTTCTGTTAAAAAGTCAAAAATGTGTTCAAATAGCTTTTTGCAGCCCTCGGACATTAAGTACCCATCTGCTTCCTGCTATCCGTTGTGCTTTTCTATTAAGGCCATTAAAATGCACAAGGGTCACCCCCCTCTTTTTTCCTGCTCCCTCCTCCTATATCTTTTTCTGTGCTCCCTTCTTCTGGAAACATTACATAACTGTCTGCTTGTCCGCTTCATTTCAAATCCTAGCTGTGATGTGTCCGCAGGACCGCTCTGGCTGTTTCACATTTTCATCCCCTCGGAGCATACGCTCTCCCACATTGAATTAGCAGCAGTGCTGGTTTTATAACTTCATTTATAGAGAAAGACCTTGGACAGAGAGAATACAAGCTGGCCTGTGTGTGTGAGTGTCCCTTGGAGCTAGTCATACTGTCTGTAGGGATAAATGGGCTGGGGGAGAAACCAAGCTGTGTCAGAATCACTCTCTGCGTACTAAAACCTGTTCAGGTTTAAAAATATTTCATTTTAAAAAGAAATTTGTCTTATCATAAAAAATAAAAATAAAAAGTTGGATGTTTACACTGTTCTCTTCCCAATTGCCTAGAAGTTGTCTTTCCTTCCATTTTTCTTTCTGCTTTTTTCTTTACATTGTAATTCCATTCATCCAGCCATCATTCCATACTTACCTGTCTCCTTCCATCTTTTCCTCATTTATTGCCTCCTTTTTAACTTCCTTCTGGCCTTTAATCTTTTGGTCCTTGGATGCTGTGTTAATTCCTTTTTTCTGTGAGTTGTGGAGATGTGCCTCCCTGTGCAAACCTAATGTTATTTAAGAACACTTCATCTAAGTCACCATTTTATTATTTAGGGTTTTAATTTGTTTGAAGCCAAAGTGTGAAGTGGTGTCCAAAACTGTGGCTTGCAAGCCATTAGATGGACTTGGAGATATGGTCTGTGGCCCAAGTAATCTGCCAGCAAAGGTAGTTGATTCCAGTAGACTATTTATTTATTTATTTATTTAGGGTGAGATCTTCATTGACAAACTCAAATCTTTTTAATGTGGAAAACATTAATTACAACACAAAAAAAATTATGCTTTCCTCTTTACCTTCATTTGAATTTGGTAGTGGGTAAGACCAGATAGGCTAAATGCAACAAAACTTCACAAAGGAATAGTTGCTCTTACTGAGAATGGATATTTTAGAAATCCTGATTAGGTAAATAGTAAATAGATTACGTAAATAGAAAATAATCCATTCAAAAAATAAAGAAATGACATCCTTTACATCAAAAGTGCGCAGATACCTCCTAATATCTCAATATGGTTATTGTGGAGCAGGTACGAAAAATAAAAATAATCATTTGCTTTGAAAAAAAATTTTCAGGCCATCATTCTGAATTTCAGTATTTTGTCCCACATGATGAAAGGTTCATACATCGCTGATGTGGGGGATCAGAAACGTTTATTTATCAAACACTGTTTTGTTTTGTTGACTTGGCTCAAATCTGACTTTTTCTTATAAATCTATAAATATTTATGTAAAAAAATTAGTGCAAAGGAAGCTCATTTACACTGTATAAAGTTGATCTAAATTTGTTTTTGGTTCTTTGTTGCAATGCAGGTTCTGCTGCCACCATATGAGGAAGCAGTAGCCATCCCACCCAAGGACCCTCCTCCCCAGTACTTGGAGGCATGAGAACCGACCTCACTGCTGAACTATTTACCCCAAACACTCTTCCCATCTACTCCTCAGCATTCGGATGCCAACTCAAGCTGCAGTAACAACCCAAACCCGTGATTTTAGATGCCAGATTCCTTTAAGCTGACCTTGCGGTAACTTGGCTCCCCCTCCACATCCTCCTACCGCCCAGATTGTTGTGACGCATCAGCTCCTCCAAGGACAGTGCTCCCTGTAGGAGGCGCCCGAACTCTTGCTACACACGGTACGCCCCGGCCCAACTTCTTGTGAACTCCTTATTTTGCTTTAATTACAAACTACCCTCTTGGCCACCAACTGTTAAGCCCCAATACTGTGAATTAACCCTGGTGTCTTCGAATAGAGACTAACTATTAAAATATGGGTGAAGCAAAGAAGAGTGTGAAAGCAAAAGCAACAAATGTTATCAGCATGATAGCACTTTAAAAAAAGGATAAATTTTCTTCAATGAATGTAATGTTGAGGTATTTTTGTATGACTTTTTGTATTACGTAAAAACGGAGGGAAATTTGAGAAGTGGAAATGTGTGTTATCCTGGATGATTAACACGTCACTCATCCTGTGGGAAGGTAGATGGTAAAAAGACACCATGACCGATAAAAATGTCTTTATGTGTTAACCCATCAACTGCCAGTGATCCACCAATCTCTCCTCATATTCCAGTTTGCCTTTTTGTCTGTGTTCCATGACTTAACGTGATTATCCAGTTAAGCCTCTATCTTAGAGCTGTTTACACTCCAACCCCTTGCAGATCCACTTAGATGTAGTAAAACATCCTTCCATCGCAGCAGCATCGACTGTGTCTCTATGGTTTGTTTTTAGTGGCAGTGATAATCTCTGTGTATCATTTGACCTTTTTTAGATGGTTGGAGGGTATTTCTCTGTAAAGACCGCATGACATGCTGCTGTACAGGAATCTTTGTTTCTGTGTGCGTGCTACACATATTTAATATCTCCATCTTTTGTATGTAGTGTTTCTGTTGCACATGCTTCAAACTCCTATTAGATGTTGAGGTCAGGTTCATACTGGTGTCTAAGGCTTATTCTGTGTAAATGTTCAACAGTTGAGACCGATAATGAGGGGACAAATAGTAGATGCCGAGTAAATATTCCAATGTTTTTGTCTGAATTAGGGATATTTGTGAGTGCTGTCAATAAATTTGAGTTTTCAATTAAGGAAAGGATCTTGAAAGATATTTTATGACATACAATCAATCAGTTTGTCATGGTAGCAAAAGGTTTTCTGAATCTTTATATATAATCTTACATTTTGAGAAATGCATTTTAGGGGTTTCATGTAAACCTGCATAAAAAATAAACACATGAACCGTGCAATCTTTAATGACTTTATATTATATAAAAGTTGGAGTTTTTTAATCAAATCACTGGATTAACCTGTCAGGGACACTTTGTTGACGTACACCTGTATCATACAACTGCATTAATCAGCTCACTAGTTTAGTTTTATTATGTTTAATACTTGAATCCTGTTCTTATTGTCTTCCCACTATCATGTTTAATATCTGCCCAAGGCCTCTGCAAATCTGACAGTACTCAGAATATAAATGCACTTTAGAGGCAGCTTCAGGCCACTGGTCTCTGGTGTTTCAGCTCATTTTCACCTTAATATGCTGTAGCTACGTGTCTCCTAATGTTTCCCCGTTTTCCCAAACTATACGTTTATGGTTCGACATTAAAAGCAATTTTTGCATCTTTGTGAAAGTTGCAGAACTGACAGATTTTCAGAGATTTCTGAACTGTCCTCATTGCAGAAACTAATGGATCATTTATCCTGTCAGGATTTCTCCCTTTTGTTTGATCTGCATGAGTTCATGTTTTCAATTTAAAACAATAAAGATTTCAATCTACATATCTTGATTATCTTTTGATTTATTACACCACCTTATTCAAAAACTGATTTCTCTGGATGCAAGGTGTTAAAGAAATTAGTCATAAATATTAAGTATAACTGGTGTAGTTTGAGGTTTATATATTTGGAATGTGACATTAATTTTGACTTTCTTATCAGTAGTTTTAATTTTTAGCTTAGAAAAGAAATATCAGAATTTTTAGGAATGGATTTTTTTTCCCGCTCTTGTTAATTAGCTGTTGTAGCTCAATGTTTTGTTCCGTAAACAAGCAATTTTTTCTTTACTTTTGCTGGTTCTGTGTTTGTTCTGTTTCTAGGGCAAACTTAGAAGTTCTATTTAAAATACCTCATAAGTTTTAAAGGTATTTCTTTAGAAATACATCAAGTCTATATAAAGCATCAGTACATACAGTGTTAAAATGTTTATTTTCAACAATAAAGGCTGACATTGATTGACATTAATTTGTGTTTAATATATTTGGGATTTTTACCTCATTCTTGTGGAGAACAGCATCAGGTTCCAATCACTGCTTGTGGAACATTATAATAATTATTTTTTTTTTCATATCTGCTCTCAAAGTTAATGAAATTTTGGGAGGAAACCTATGATTTTGAATGATGCATCGCATAACAACGGCAGGAAACCAGGCAGATGCTGTCACCTACTTTCTACCAAAGGGACGGGCAGGAAAAATAATTAGGTCACATTCTGTCTCTACTTGCTGAGATGGTTCTCGGGAAAAGAAATGAGATTACAGGATAATACTAGCTTCAAACCATTAGGTTTTAAGGGAGGACATTGCTTTAAACACTTCTATTGGTATTTCTCTGAAATTTACGTCAAGTGACATTATGTAACATTCAGTCTGACTGTAAAATAATAATGGAAGTTTATTTAACCATCAGTTCTGGTTTAGTAAAATCACATTTTGGATGTACATATTATGAAAAGTCTCCTTTCTGTTTATGGGCTCTGTAGATAATGTCCTGATTCCCTGCAGGGATTCTGCTGAACGTGAAGCTGATCAGCAGAAATGATTTGAATGTAATTGGAAATTCAGGAAGCAGCTTAGAGACGCAATGGATGGGAAAACTGGGTCAAACTGGTAGAGGCTGATGGGGACAGTCTGGCTGCTCGATGTCTGGAACTGCTGAGGTTTCCTCTGTTCTAGTGAGTTTTTTATTTTAGTTCCTTACAAAAGTATTCATATGCTTTAAACTTCTCCGTATTTCACAAGAGATTAATGGTATTTCTCATAACCGACCAATACAAGTCAATCAAGTTGAGGTTTTGAAAAAGTCACTTTTATCGTGTAAAAGGAGTTGGAAAAAACAATAGCTTAAAAAAATTGGTCCTAATATTCAACAGCATATCAGAGATCAGTTAAAATAATACTTTAAATAATCGGTACTGGCTTTAAAAAAAATTTACTGGTGGATCTCTACCTGATGCTTAATAAGATCCATTGCAAAGAGTTGCCTTCAGAAGCCCATTTAAAGTTTAAATGAACCCCATTACTGTCTGAATAAATGGAGTAGAATATTTTAGAGGTTTGTTATCATTTGAGAACAAACTTGACAACCAAGAAACAGCAGATAGGTCAGGGAAAAAGTTGTGAAGCTTGAAATATGGTTGGATTATAAAACAATATTTCCAGCTCTGAATAGCAAAGAGCCTTTTAATTCATCCAGTGAAAATGGAAATAGTTCAGCCTAAATGCAAACCCACTCTTCACCGAACCGGAAGGGCCAAACTATCAGGGCACATGGTGCAGAAACACCTATGACATGACTCTGCTTATCATCAGGGTGCAAACTTCACACTAGATTACAGCTTGGATGCTGTTCCTCTTGACCAGGAGATCCTATTATCGTGAAAAGAGGATTTTGGACCACTGAATAACAGCACAGCTGTTTGATTTGCTACTCCAGGTGCAAAGCTTTTCTGATGTACTTGGTAGAGGCGGACAGCCCTAAAGCAAGCTGGGTCTGCTTCAGAATTCTCTGAAGGCTACTATTGCTTATATATTGAGAATGTTTCCTTAAACACTTTTTTTTCCATTTAACTTTCCATAAATGTTTTTAAATCATTATGAGCAAGCAGCTTTCTTTATAGATGACCTGTGATTTACCTTCTTGTGCACAATGTCAGTCTGATGGACAACCTTTAAATTGATGTTCTTTTCCCCATTACTGTCATAGGCTGCAATACTGAAAAACATTACACATTTGAAGCAAACCTCAAAAATGATAAAAACTAAAGGTTTTGATCTTTATCCATATAATCAAAATGACTAAATCATTTAATATTTCAGTGGTCCTCAGTTTTTTTTGCTAGATCCCCTTTTGCTTTACTATAAAGTTATAACCCTGCCTACTTTTTCAGCAGCTGAACAAAGGTAAGTTGATGGCAATATATTACTAATATTATCTTGTTTAAAGCACAAAACCACAACCCTATAAGTGTACTTATTTTATAAGTGTAAAAAATTCAACACAGCAAAAATCGGGTATTTATTCAATTAGCCCCACACTTTGGGAACCACAATTAGAGCCACAAACATTACATGACCTTCACAAAAAAAAAAAAAAAGTATAGATTTTACATATATCTACATAGGTGGCTTTTAGAAAAATATTTTACTTTAGTTTGAGGCATTTAATGCTTTCTATCTAAAAAAAATATATATTTATATATTTTTTTATTGTATTTTTTTATATATATATATACACACGTATGTTGCCTTCAAGTTAGTAAGGATTTAAAAAAAAGAAAAATCATACTTTAACCTGTAAATAACGAGCTCTTCTGAGTAACTCCCTTATCACATTTAAGATTCATGAAAGGGGAATAAAAAGAATCAGACCAACTAAGTTGGTCTGATTCTAAGTGGAGTGGAGGAGTTTAAGTATCTTGGGATCTTGTTCACGAATGAGGGAAGAAGGGAGCGGGAGATCGACAGGCGGATTGGTGCAGCGTCTGCCGTGAAGCGGGCACTGTACCGGTCCGTCGTGGTGAAGAGAGAGCTGAGTCAAAAAGCGAAGCTCTCGATTTACCGGTCGATCTACGTTCCTACCCTCATCTATGGTCATGAACTCTGGGTCATGACCGAAAGAACGAGATCGCGGATACAAGCGGCCGAAATGGGTTTCCTCCGTAGGGTCGCTGGGCTCTCCCTTAGAGATAGGGTGAGAAGCTCGGTCATCCAGGAGGGACTCGGAGTAGAGCCGCTGCTCCTCCACGTCGAGAGGAGCCAGTTGAGGTGGCTTGGGCATCTGTTTAGGATGCCTCCTGGACGCCTCCCTGGTGAGGTGTTCCGGGCACGTCCCACCGGGGGGAGGCCCCGGGGGAGACCCAGGACACGCTGGAGAGACTATGTTTCTCGGCTGGCCTGTGAACGCCTTGGGGTTCCTCCTGAAGAGCTGGAAGAAGTGGCTGGGGAGAGGGAAGTCTGGGCCTCCCTTCTTAAGCTGCTACCCCCGCGACCCGACCCCGGATAAGCGGAGGAAGATGGATGGATGTATGGATGGATGGAGACCAACTTAGTTTTACTTTTTTCATCAAGACAACCAAGCTCCTATAGGTCAGTGTAAAAAACAGCTGAAGCCAGTCTGCTCATCTGCTTGGTTTTGATGTGTCAAAACTGAAGGTTAACTCAAAAACAAACTCATTTGAAAAAAGCTTTATTTTTTTCAATGTGGTACTCCAAAACAAAACAGATCCCAGCCCTATATTATTTTACTAAGAAAATATTTTCATGTACAGCTTGCAATCCACTTATGGACAACTAGGGATATGCATACCCTGTTGGAAAACACTGGTCTACATGACGGATCACCTCGTAAAGCATCCTTACATGACTACAAGCACACAAGTTCAGCTCTATAGTTTATGTAAGTGTTTGGAGGAAGGGAGGGGAGGCTGACACTCTGAGATTAATAGTTGCATAATTTTGACATCTGAGCCGTTACATCCTGATGGTTTAAACCGTAAGCGCTAATCCAGTTTCAGTGCTTTGTTATACAAGTTTCTAAAAATAAGATCACCTCTAAATTACATCTCTGAAGGATTTTGGGATATTTCAGAAAAAAAATTCTGCCTACATTTAAAACGAATCAATCTCCTACAGTAACTGGAAACATTCATGTCATGATGGGAGGAAATAAGACTACGATGTTCTTAGGAGTCCTTAAAGGCGCCGATATAGAAGCTGTCATTAGAAATGAGAAACCACAGGACGACAGTGTTATTGTCTCTTTTTATTTATAACAATGTGGGTGGGGGAACAGATCTACTGGGCCTGCTGCTGCTGATCCGGCATGCTCCTGATGATGTCAGAATCGCCTAAAGAAAAAGATGAGCAAAAGAGAAAATACATTTAAAAAAAGACACCGTCATATCTTATACAGTTCAAAAACCATGCAGGACACTTGCATTGCTGGCAGAAATGAACAACAAGAAAATGTCACCACAAAACATTTTATGAACCGACCGCAAGCTGGGGACAGTTCAAACTGCTCCAGGTAGCTTTAATCTAGCGAACCACTAGTCCTGAGCTGGACCACCTTGGCACACAGGTCCATCAGGCGCAAAAATTCGCACCATAAAGTATAGTTTTAATATTTATAGTCTATATTTATATCTATAGTTTTAAAAAAAGGTAGACATTTAAGAAGGCTGAGCACTCCATGTTCCATCTGAAAATCAAGGAAATCAGTAAGGGCACAGGATGTCTCATTTTCCCACAATCCTCCGACAGGACCTACAGACACAGCCCACCTTACGGGAGATGCATTAAAATATATTTATTCACATTCTGTGTGACAGGCTAATGCACACACCATTATGTTTTGAGTTTTATAATAGAGAGCTTCAGGTGTTGCTACATTTCTTTAATTCTCGTTTCTTTTCCATAAGGCTGTTTTGTTCTTACATTTTCCCCAATAAAAGAGTGCCGCAGCTACTTTTTGAAAAATTTGGAATTAGTCATTGTGTTGCTACTTTGAATACAGATACTTTAATAGGCTGAACTGAATCCCCATTTAGATCATGTTAATAGATCTAGAAATATCCCCTGACTGCTATTTGAACACTGTTCATCGTTTACTAATCACAGCACAAAGTGTTGGAGAAACCTAAATGTTTCTAGACTTAAAACCTAATCTAATAACTTCAATTTTGAACTCTGAACCCTTAGAAATTGAGTTTAGAATAGATGTAGAGACGCTTTTGGAAACTGTAGTTTTTAAAAGTAAGTTCAGTGTTGTACAGGAATGATACATATTTAAAAACGTTTCAGTTTATAAAGTAAATGCCTAAGTTTGTGAAGAATGCAGACATATTTAAATACCATTAGTTCTCTTTTGACAATTGTACAGAAATATTATATTTTTCTTATGTTTCATCTTGAAACAAAAACTTTTAATTGTCTTAAAAAATATACAATAACAAATACACAGATTTTGTTCCTTAAACTTAAAAAAGGTGGGTGAGAAGAATAAAATCCCTGCTTTAATTCAAACATTTCAATGGACGATGTGCCAAACTCCACTAGTTCCTGGACTTCAGGCAGCTTCTTCGTTTCCCATCTTTCATTACGGGACGAACTGATTAATCCAGGTGTGTCTGACCTCAGTAACCATGACAACATTAGTCTGGATTAATCAGTATGTCCAGTGAGGAAAAACGGGAAACAAGGCTGGCTGAAGTTCAGGAAGTGGTGAAGTTGGACATATAGTACATTGATGATGATAGCCATCAACTTGTTGTTTAAATATCCAACACAAGACCAGAGTGATTTGTTAGTTAGCTGCACATAACACCTTCTGTCCGTCGGCACGGAGCAGATGGCAGGTTCTTACCGGGGTCAATGATAGCCAGCGTGCACACCCTGTAGTACTTTCCACAGGCTGTGCCAAGCTCAATGTTGTTTCCACTGTAGTGGTGAACACCGGTCTTGGCCAGCATGGCGTAGTACTCGATCTCAGATTTCCTGTAAACGAAAGAGAGAAAAACAAAGTGAGTCAAAGCAGTTGAAGCTAAATGCAAATACTGCAAAATGGATTAGACAAATTCCCCTGCATCAAAAACAAGTCTTTTCACAACTTAAGATAATTGTTCCTGCAGACTTAAATTACTACAAAAGTGAAGTTTATCCTATCATTTGGAAATTTAGATAAAACAAATTAAAGAGACCACTAAAAAAAATCATTAAATCCATTCGATATCACAATTGCTAGCTCTGCCATTAAGTACGTGCAGTTCCAATTTTTACTTTGCGTTCCTATGGCTTATGTTCATTAATGAACTGCTCTCGTCCTTATATTTTATAAAGCAACTGAAAGTGTTGCTTTCAAACTGGATCAGACACGCTTAAAAAAGATGAACATAAAATGTTTCCGCACACTCAGATTTCCTACACTGTATTTATTTTGTCATTTGAGCTGTGCCCATATTGGTTGTCGAGTATGACTTGAATTCAATTTAAAAGGGAATTTCATGTTTTTTTTACATTGGGCCCTTGATTTTATGTTGTTACATCATGTTCTACTCACCCATATGAGTTGTATGTCATTTGGAGCTGTTCTGAAGATATTTAGTTGGGTTATATCCAAGTAAAATCCTCCTACGGGCACAAACTAAACTGTTCATAATATATCATTTATGGTACGCCAGCATTCATAACTCCGCTGTATCTTCAGAACAGCTCCAAATGACACAAAACTCATATGGGTGAGTAGAACATGATGTAATAACGTAAAATCAAGGGCCCAATGTGAAAAAACGGCGTTCCCCTTTAATACATTAAAATCAGTATCAACCACTCAAAGGTCAGAATCAGACAAATGAAGGCCTGAGGATCCCAGTCATTGGTCGCATCAAAACCCAAACAGAAAGCATATACCGAAGTTTTCTTCCCCAATATACAAATATTTTGAACATTGTCTGGAGGTTTATAAAACCTCTTTCAGTTCTTGTAATACTAGATTTCTATCCAATATGTATCCATATTTTACAACAAAAAAATCTGGTATGACTTTATAGCTTCAAAAAACATGCCATGACAACTCTGAGCTTGATTGAAAGAGTAGCCAACATGTGTATTCCAACATTCTTAAATAACCCATGTACTGTTGTAACACTTTTTCATATTTTATATCAATATGTACCTAAGAGCAGGGCAGTTGTTGGCCAGAATGACCAGCTTAGCTTTTCCCTGGCGGATCATCTTCTGGGACTGCTTGTAGCCCAGCACGTATTTTCCACTCTTCATCACCAGCTGGAGACGAGAGTTTATGGACTCCATGGACTTTTTCTAAATAGAAATAAGAAACAAGTCAACGAAGTGGCAATACCGTAGGAATAACAAAATAAGATCCAAAGCTAATGCTAATGGCACGAGAAGATCATACCATCTCTATCTTAAAGTAGGGCTTTCGTTAGATTTAGCCAACTAGCATTAATTGTGCTGTCGGTTGGGTCGTAAACCATTGAAATATTGCTAACATAGTATATAGAAACCATAAGCGTGTTAATATGTTTGAATAGAGCGGTGTGGATTTAATTAATAACTAAAATACTGAGAAACAAATAAACGCCTAGCTTCATAGCTACGATGCTAGCTAGTAGGCCACATCGGAAACGTCTCCACGTGAAGCAGCCGCTTAGCCTGTAGCTTAGCCTGCCGACACCACTCACCGTCTTCTTAGCGGCCACCATGTTTGCGGTTTAGTCCGAACTGGCCAACCTGCAAAGAAACAGCAACAGAGGACAAGTTTAAGAATTTAAATGTTTGATAACGTCCAGAAAGTGGAATAATTAGGCACCAAGAGCCGGAGCTCGACTTACAGTGAAATCACCCCAATATGGCCTCGGAGAAAAAGGAAGTTGCGTATTTGTTGCGTTGGTTTTTTCTGCTCGGTGTGCGCAAACAGCTGGTGCAAAGACAGATTTTCTGTTCCGCACAGAAAGAGAGACAGACAGACCGAAAGAAAGAAACTTTTATTAAATAAAAAAAATCTTTGTAGTCTTTCTATTTGGATTTAATTATCAACATTCACCCTTTAAAACTTTGTAGGGTTTTTTATTATATCAGCAAAGCATTTTCATTTATCGTGACAGGTAGAAGAAATGTGATTAAATTAAGCAATTTGTGGCAATGTTCACATTTTAGGTCCTAATTTAGAAATGTCGAAAGGAATGCACCAAATTACAATAGATTTTTTTTTTTTTGGAAATAAACTGTTTATATGCTATATTGGTTAACTAACAAATCCCTCTGATTCCCTGACTGGCAAATAGAAAACATAAAAATAACTTACAAAAAGAGTACTTTAGTAAGTTAGTCAAATACATTTACTGACATTTCTGATACTTGAGGTAAATATAACACAATACAACGCATTCTGTGGTTAGTCTAAATAGATGGCTCAGAATTGGAAGCTAAATAAAAGCGACCTCAAAGTTGATCACCAATTACAACCCCAAAATCCAAGATGGCTGCCCCACATAGAGTGTGAAAAACAAAAAATTGTTAGAAATAAACTGTTTATAGATAGTTCCCGCACAACATCATGTCTGGTGCGCTGTAACACACTATTGTTATAGTGCAAAAAGCACGGTTGAAGTTTTATGCTAAAGCGCTCCAGAACCACAATGGTTCAATGGTGTACAAACAAAACCAATAAAAGAAAAAGGCAAAAATTCCATTACACAGTGAGATTCAGAAGAAGAGAATGTGAATATGCATCAAAAAGTGCTGCTAGCTTATATCTAGAGAATATACAGGCTATCTAATGCGAAAAATTTCTGCTGATCACTTTGTTAACTGTAAGGTCTTTTTTCAAATGCTTAAAATGAGGTGAATGTAGTGTTAAAAAATAAAAACCTAACTCCATGTGAAAAGGGTTAAGTAGAAAAAAATATTGCATATACATACACACATTTCTGTTACATTCTTGTGAAAATGTTCCTCTCATATTACATTTATAATCATTTCAATTTTGAGACAATAAATGGAGAGTAAATGTAAGCAAGTATTAGTTACTCAGCAAAACAAAAATACATGCATTTTGCATTTGTCCAATTTGTACAGAACTAGGTAATTTTCAATGATGCATGATCTATTATATATTTGTGATGCATTCCAGCACAAACCACAGCTTACAACAAAAAACTGATTAAAAATAAATAAAAGACTCAGTAATGCAGCTCATAATGCTGTTTCTATGTAACACCATTCGTCAGTATGCTATCAACTAGTGTTGCGCCAATGCCAATTTTTGGCCCCGATAACAATACCCGATACCTGGCTGTGCAGAATTGTCCGATACCGATACCATACAGATACAATATGTTTGAAATTGATGTGTGTGTGTGTATATATATATATATATATATATATATATATATATATATATATATATATATATGAAGAACTCCATACTACTTACTAAATAACTACTAAATAATTGCCATTATGGCTTTGACAAGCTCCTGCCTACCTTTGTGAAGCACGAAAAAGAATAATACAAAGTGAATCCAGTACTTTTTATTGCCTACCTGGAATGGGTGACAATAGTTGAATAAACTTTTGGCTCTCAAAATGGTTTCGGTGCCCTTTTTGTTGGTACTCGCTAATACCGATACCACCATTATAGTGCTGGATCGGGGCCCCGCCCGATACTGGTGTCGGTGCAACACTACTATCAACATGGCACATTTTGTCACTTCCTGTTCCTTCCTTGTTAGAACTCTCTATTTACCCTCCATATTGATATATCCCTAATAAACACAGTACTTTCTGACCTCTGTTTCTGAAAAAAACTCTTGACATGGAAAATTATGTATTTACTTGTATTTTGGATTTTTGTTAGCTATGGTAGTTATTACAATAATTTCTAAATCATGATGTTTTTCTAACTTGTTTATTTATTTATTTTTTTCTTTCATGTAGTTGTCTATCATAATATAGGGTTTCCAGTATACAGATGGACAGTCATCTAATAATAACCACTTTGGTCAGAGAATGTTCTTGACCCTAAAAAGATAGCTAGTATTTTTGTTAGCAAATAAACATTCAAGCTTTATTCTATGCATATTTGAGATGAATTTTAGCTTGTTAAATCCTTAAAGATGGACAGCTGTTTATTTCCTTAATTTGTTGTTAGCAATATCTGAGTTACAAGACTATTTACAAAATATATAGATTTAAAAAAAATAAAAACAATTTAATAACATTGGTGCTTGAAGTGGAAGAGATGGTTGTTTATTTTGTTTTAGGAATGACTTTGCTAAGCCATCCAAATAAACGTGTCTTAGAACAGGTGTGGATAAGTTGTGAATAAATTAGTCCTTAAGATGCTCATTCACACTGGACAGGCTATGAATCCATGATGTTTTTGAATACAGAGCAGAGAAATACCAATTATTTAATGTACATTGCTTATAGTTATCTGTTCATTGAACAGAACAAACCAGTAATGCTACAGATTTCCCTACTTGCAAACACAATAAGGTTAAATTGGACATCACATCATTCAGAGGACTGACCTCAAACTTTTTATGCAAATACTTCATGGCCTGTGTGATCTCTTCCACATTTCTCTGCTAACGTCTCCCTCCTTTTTCGCAGAACCTTTTATGGATGAGATTTTATTTTTATTTCGAAAGTATCATCCATAATTGTTTTGCTTCTGCTCAGTCAGGCATACAGTAGACATTTTTATTAAAGCTGAAAGAGAACAGTAATTTTAATTCAATCAAGTACTTCAGATGATTAATTAATATAAATCAACCCATAAATCTCAATAGTTGCCAGAATACATTTTTAATCTAGCTACAAGAGTTAATTAAGTTATTAAATATATTCCCAGCCCACGAATGTTCTCACATTTTGTCAAATCATCTTGAAAAAAAATAAAAAACTATTTATTTTGGTATGTGTCGAACAACAAAATGGAGTCCAACCACAATGGAATTAATTGTCTGGATGAAACAAATTATTTTGATGGTTTATATTTTTCTAAACACCAACAGGTCATAACAAAAAACAGCTTAAATTAAACAAAAATAAAGAGCCTATTTTAAAATGTAAGGAGTAGACAGTAGCAATAATTGCAAAAAAATAAAATAAATCTGACAATAAGTCATTTTTTCTTTAAATAAGTGATTTTTTTCTTGAATTAAGGATGTAGGTGAGACACTTTGCCAATGGAACAAGACAATTTACATTTAAAATAAGAAACAACAATTACATTGTCTTATTGCAAGTGCATAATATCTAATTAGCTTATTTTAAGAGTAAAAATACTCATTCCATTGGCAAATCATCCTATTTACCTGCTCAAACTAAGGGTAAATACACTTCATTTAGACATTTTTACTTAATTTTAGATCGTTTTTGGAGTAGACGTTAAAAGTTGTCTAAAAATAGCCAGTAGATTTCTAGAACTCTGCAAAAATAACTTAAGTAAGGTAACAAACTCCATGCAGAAAGACTCTGGCACAGGAATCAAACCCAAGACCTTCTTCCTGCAAGGCAACAGTGCTACAAACTGCACCAATAAAAGGAAGGAAAAAAAACAAACAAATAAACATCTAATAAATCATAAGAAATAATGTTGTCGAGAAATACTTGACAGCATAGTCTGGTCGTCCACAAGAAGCTGTTGATTTACCAATATTTATTCTGGGAATAAACTGAGAAACAAACAGCTCCGCCCCAGAGAACAAGATTCCTCCTGACACCCTTCCTTTGGTGCCTCTGATCAAAAATATCTCCTTCCCATTAGTCGGATTAGAAACGGAAAACTTAAAAAGTTTACCTGCATGGCTCATCTACACCGAAGCTTACACGTGGAACTAAAAAAAAAAAACAAAAAAAACAATAATATCTGTCCGAGAAAGCGAATTATGCGCAATTACGCACCGGAGGAATTTAACCTACAGCCGTGTCTGTGTCTTCAGGCCTCTCCCACCGAGAGGTGTTTTGCATTTCCCGATTAGGACAGCGAGACTACACTTAGGTTCAACGTCATTGTTGCAACTACAGCCTGTCTGCACCTAGTGACCGTAAACTTATCCACTCCTCAGTGCGCACAGGGCAGGATGGGATGCTCCACCAGCTCTCAGACTTCTGCGGTAGACACCACTCGACCCAGCTCCAAGCCTGAGGAGAGCAACGGAGCCAGCACCACAGGTGATGAAAGAAAAGACATCTATCCTTGTAGAAAATTATTATAGCTTATTAAGACAAAAGGTAGTGTGAGAAGCTTATGTGGCTTTTGTCTTTTAGTTTTAATATATCTAATTAATAGTAAAAATAACTTTAATCATTAATAACTTAAAAAAAAAACATTTTATGCACATGTATAACCTTTAAATGTTATCCACATCCTCATTTCTATTGCATAGTAAACTTTAGTCAAAGGAATGCATTGAAAAACACTGTGTGTGTCCCTGGAAATGGCGTCAAGTTAGAAGTTCTCTCCTTTGTCCGTATAAAGTTGCATCATCCATCAAACACTGCAGCAAATTTAGATTAGATATGCAAATTGCTGCCAGTGTTAATTCTCTAGCTGCAGCCGGTGCCTCCTGTGTTCACCTGTGAGCCACATCTCCACAGGGAGAGGATGAGAAAGTTTATTGTCATTAGTTAACAGTGGTTTCTGGCTATGTCCTCCCAGAGAGTGACACCGGAGCAGATTTGGTGACAGTCTACAGTTTCAGATGGAAATGAACAAGCAGTGGACTTTGTTGTTGTAGCAAGTCAGAAAGGGCTCCTCCAGCCTTGGCGCAAGGAGCCGTTACAGACGTAAAGAAAAACAACCTTTCTGTTTGATCACTTCTGCAGATTGCAGGGAAATTATAAACAAAACCGTGTTCAAATAGAGTATGCATGTAGAGTTCACTGAAGGAGCTCAGATGGTAAAAAAAGTCAAATATTCACTAAATGGGACCTCTTCTGAGTTAAAGGTACATGGACGTAACAGAATGCCACAAAAGAGGCTGGCAAAGTGTATCTGACCTCCCTATGGAGGCGGCAGTCACAATAAGATATGCTCATAAAAGGTTTTACTTTTACTGTCTCTTGGTTTCAGATTATCAGCTGAAAAACTGTGAACAGTATCGCTGTCTTCTTTTTATCAACCTTTCTGAGGTCAGGTCAGATGAAAATATCTCAGGATTTGTTCATATTTTTGCATGCATCTTATTACTTCTGTTAATTCCCCAGAGAGAGAGAGAGAGAATTTTTTTTAACCCACTTCCATCTTCAGAAAACACTCCACCCTAATGTCAATATTTTATTCAAGGCTTCTGATGTGACATATTTCTGCTTTTTATTTGTTGTCTATCAGCTTTGGTTCAGCTAGCTGTCGTATTACTGGAAGCTGAGACTTAAGACTTCTTTGATCCATGCAAATTAAAGCAATGCAAATCATTTCGTCAAAAAGTCTAGAAGGAAGTGATACATGATATGCAGCCGATTGTCCATGGCAGAGTTGACTGTGCTGTTAATGTTCATGAACAACAGTCCTTGTAAACATTAACTTGGGTTTATGTGTGATCAGACCGGCCTTTAAATACATAATTTCACCCTTAATCTAGGTAGTGTAGCAGATATTTGGAGGAGAAAAAAGGTCCAAACAGGTTCTTGATTGATTGAAATACATCACAGCTTTATATATCAGCATCACAACCTGGATGTATATATTTGATTATTCCTTCTGGTTTTGTATTAATTCAGGCCTGTAACTGGTTCATTGGTAACACAAACATGAAGATCAATCAAGCAACATTACTGCTGCTTTGTCATGCAGACACATGGAGCCTAGGATCCAGTTTGTGTTTGTGCTGGTATGTGGTTACCAAGGTAACACAAGTTCAGCCACTTACCTGTGTTGCTGTGATTTAGGACCTCAGTTTGTTAAAACAGAAAACTTAATTGTTTTTTTTCTACATTAGGAAATCAATAAATAAAGCTTAAGATTTTCAAATGAACCCTGCATTTTCTAATTAAACTGCAGGTTTTATTATTTTTAGGACAATATAAACATAACTATCATGACATAGGCACTACATTCAAGGCTCTATACTTTGTTAAGTTGGTTTAATATTTAAAGTTGAAAAGTAAATGCTGCTTAATGCAAAGTGGTTTAAGAGGAAAAAGACTGTCAGAGGCTACATATAACTGGTTTAGATGAAGGCATTTACTCTTGGATGAGCCATTCAAAGCCCAGAACCTATATGTCGTTAAAATCTGTGGTGGAACATTAGCTTTTTTAAAGGAGGATGGGTAAAATGTGAGGGTTGCTGGTTAATGCATAGCCTATAAATGATGCAGATGTAATTAGTTGAGAAGGTGGTTTCATTAAATAGACTCAGAGGCCAAAACCCGTATTTTATTTGTACAACTGATGTTAGAAAGATGGAAAATCATCTCTCAAAATCCTCAATAAGGAATTGACAGTCACTGTTATGCTCTACTTCCTGTTGGTCTGTCAAACATGTTTAAGTTTGTAGTTGTTTAATAAAAAAGTGTGAAAAAGTTTCAGGGGTATGAAGGCAATCTATCTTTTGAGGAGCTGTTAAAGTGTTCTTTGACTTTGTTTTGCTGCGTCATCCCAAATGTTCCAAACAGGAGCGGCTGGAGAGAATGGAAAAGTAGCTGAAGACAGTGAGACCATCCCGGACCAAACAACGGCTGAAGGCAGTGATGCTAAAGTTGAGAGCGAAGCTGCTGCATCTACAGAAAGCTCTGCTGCAAGCCCCACAGCAGGGGAGGAGTCTCCGCCTTCAGCTGATGCCAAACCAGCAGAAGAAGCTGCAGCAGCAGGTGATGCTTCTGCAGAGACACCAGCTGCAGACGGCTCTGCAGTGGCTCCAGAGCAAGGTGGGTTAGACTTATGAAATAGTTACTACATTCTGCTCCAAAAATGCGAGCTAAAATAAGCCCGCTCATTTTTGGATTCATCCACACTTTCTCTTAGTTCTCCCTTCGAATGAAAGATAACTTCTTTCTCTTATGTGCTTTTATGAACGCAAATTACTTCTGATATGCAAATCTCTGCAGAGAGAGAGACAGATGAAACAGAGGAGATTATGGAGGACCATAGATCCATGTGATTCTTTATATTGTAAAACTCTGAAAAAATTTAATCATTTTCTTCACTGCTTGCCATCAGTGCAAATAGTTACCGGAATACTCAAGATTTTTAATTGGGAAGGAAGTCAAGATGTGCGGACTGTTCCCCCTGCCCAACAGTAACCTCTTTTTAATGCCCTTGTTGAGGAACATAACGTCCCTTCTATCTTTCCCCAGACCAACCTCATTCCCTGAGCATTGTCTGTAACCAGGTAGTATCCAACAACACGCTGGTACAGCTCCAACTTTAATAAACACACCAACGTAGCTGCAGGAATGTGTTTCCAGGTCACAACATTAATTATTTTGCAGTAGTTTGCCAAATTTCCCTATTTTTACATACATGTTTTACTTTTAACCATATTGTGAGAGTGGAGATTTTTTAATTTAAGTTTTGTCATTTGAAACTAACCAAACGTGGCTGAAGGGAAAATTTTTCTGAGCAAGGATCTGAAAGCTTTTTAGTGTTGATGAGAATGTGGATGGGAATAAAATTATAGGGTAATTATATAAAACAGCCTGTTAGAGACACCAAAAGAGACTGAAGCTGAGGCTCATTTCTCGGTAAGAAAATATACATCCAGATCTTCAGTAGAATGATGGATGTTCACAGATGATCCAAGATGGTAGATCATCTAAAAGTGGCTCTACACAGAACTAAACTTTGAATATGGAAGAGCTGCTTTCTTTTTATGGCTTGTTTTAAATAGTAATTAACCATGTCTATAAAAAACAAAACAAAAACAGAAGCAACTAAATGTCATTCCTTTTCCATTCCAGTTCACAATCAAATACAATTTTATGTTGGTCTGTCACATAAAAAAAAGCGCACACACATAAAAAAATAGATTTTAATACAGTAAAATGAGGCACTTCTATTCTTTGTCATCTGGCTGCATGTTAATTGCTAAATGCAAAAGAACAAAACCTTATCTGGAAAATAAATATTTTATCATACATCTTAACTGTATGCATTTTATCTTAAATTGCAGATCCAGAGTGAGATACTGAAGCATTTTCCCAGGCTTTAAAGGATATAAGGCGACATTGTAAAGAAACAGATCTGACTATGTTAGTTTGATTATTTGGAGTTTTAAAACATTTAAATAAAGCTTAGAGTGTGGGAACATTTCAGGTGAATTGATGGCTCCTCCTGTATCCACCTCTGCTGCTTAACCCATGTTCATACATTGAGGTATATGCCACAGTGCAGTTTATCTGCCTAACAGCTCTGTCAGTGATGCAAATGCAACTCAGGGAAGTAATTTGTTCAGTAAGTCAACCCTTCATTTTTCTTCTTTGCTGAATGCAAAACATCTGTTCTCAGTAAAAACAAAGGTAAGTGAGGTGAAAGCTTTTAAAATGCAAAAGGTTTTCATTAAAAAATTGATTCTTCTGTCGAAGGAAATATTGATGTTCAGTTTTAAGGTGAGCTTCAAATTTGTTAAGCAGGAGATGGAGATTAAGTTCATCTGCAGGATTATCTCTAAAAAAAAATGGGAAACAGGGTGTCCACATATCAGAGATTTCTAATACACAAAGCCAACTCTTTTATCTCTTTAAACAGCATTCCATAATTAAAGGAGAACTTTGAAAGATCCCGGACAACTATCTGAACCATGTTATAGGATGACAGAAAAGGTGGACTCCTCAGAGGCAAATCCTAAATAATTTAAGAGTGGTTTAAAACTTTTGCTCCACCCCCACAAATGTATTGCGCTAAAGTAGCTAACAAAATGCTTTCCCCAGCTCTCACTTGATCCTACCCCCTCCTCCTTTGGTGTCCAACTTGACTGGTCGTGGGATCTGGCTTCACCACAGGCCTGTTCAGTTCTTCTGCTTGCAGCATATGTCAGTTTTCAATACTTTGTACTCAGTGCGGTCCCATTCATTTGCAATTTGAGTCCACGGAGAAACCGGAGCACGTTACAGGGCTTCCACCATGTTGGGCTTTTCACAGCCAAAGCAAAGAGATGATGGTGTCACAGCTCATTGGTTTCTAAGCCTGTAGGAGAAATTTTAGGACTCATTTTTTAAATTTTTTTTGTTGATTTATTACTAAAAGTCCAAAACAGCCTATAGCTGTAATTATAGTTTCAGTTTTTTGCAAATATCCATCATTCAGGATATTGCTTTATAACTGAGCCCTGCTTGTATGTTCTATGTTCTCTAAGAAACCTATGAGGCCATTTCAGCATTATTTAATTATTAAAAGAGGTGCAGTTTACTTGCATTGGGTCAGTTTGTTGTTTTGGATTTAATTTAGGGAAATCAATGGAAAGGAGGCTGCATTAAATGTTAATACAACAATTTTTAACATTTGCTTCACAATAACGCCCTAATACATCAAATTACCCAAGAAAGCATAAAAGGTTTTAATATTAGCATGACAAAATGCTAAAAAGGCGCTGGTACAGTTCATCCACATATTGTCTTAAAATAGGAGTGTTAAAAGTCTAGCAGACCTAAATCAAAATTTTTTTTGTCATACTAACACAAAATAAGTTAGCTTTCTTTTTAATTTCAGGCTTCACAGAACTACAAACAGCAGGCAACTTTTACTTAAAAGCACAACTGGGTTAAACCCACTAAAATACACCAAATGCTGTCACAGAAATAGTGCCCTTTATATTGTTTTAGCTGCTGAAAATGGAAAATCATCCCAGTATAGTAGGAAAATCCTATTTTTCCACCACTGCTATAAAAAATAAATCCCTACCTTAAAGAAAAAATGACACTTTATCTAATTAAAATATCCATGGTCAGTTTATTCTAAAGCAGGTTGAAATAAAACATCCATAACTACTTCTTTTACATCTTTCTAAGTTTAAGCTATTTTTTTTTTTTTCTGATGCACATGCATCATCATCCTGACAGTTTTGACCCAGTTTACAAAAACATAAAGCCTAAAACCGTCCTCCTGATTTGGAAAAACGTTTTTAAATCTTTGATCTAAGTAAAGACATCTAGACAAAGGACTGTCGGTATTCATGGTCTGACTTCATGCTCTTGGTAAAGAATATTCTTTTTTCTCCACAGCGACAGATTCAGAGCCCCAACCAGAGGAGCCCCCAGGTGAGCAACACTATTTTATTACTACTTATTTACATAATGATACAGGAAGCAGTAGGGGAGCACCTTTCTAACACACCGTCTGTGTTTCCAGCACCCAGCGAGTGAAGCAAGCCGTGCCTGATGACTTCTTGCTGGAAGAGTCGCTCCCCATCTGTACACATGAGTGAAAGTATGTCTGAGTGGGAGTCTGAGTGTGTGTGTGGAAAAATATTGCCTTGTTGCCAAGATGCTGACCCTAATGATGACCAATTTCATTTAGGGTTTTTCTGTCACCATTGTGCCTTTTTCTCCCCTTTTTTGATGCTAAATCACAGTTTTTACTGTAAATAGATAGAAACATATAATCATTGGAAAGAAATCAAGATTATTCATTCAAATCCATATTTATTATCTGTATAGAAAGATATTTAAATTGAATTTAGGGTAAGAATATACTCATTTCTTTTTTTACAAACAATATTCTGAGACAGTCTAGTTCAATTTATCAATTAACTAATACATTTAATTTGATTTACTGTAGTAAATAGAAAGGTCCTGCAGTAACAAGCGCTGCCCTGATCTATTAAATAAGAATATTCCTATGTGTCATGGTGATGAAAGCCTGAAATCTACTTTGTAATATCACATAAATCCAAAATTGGCAAAAAAAATGACACCCATCACGAGTTTTTCTTTGAATCAACCTCTTTATTAGTTGCTTCTGTTAATGATTTTATATGTAAAAATGACACCACCAGAAGAAACCGAAGAATCAGTCTTAAGATGATCTCAGTGGTAGTGGTGTATATCAGACTGAAGCAGTTTAAAGCCATGGTTACACTCCTCCTACAGGCTTCAGGGGTTTCTGATCTTGTTAGGCTTTTGAAAGAACCGGCTGCAGTTTGACCTGGAGACCTACAACTTGTTTGAGACGTGGTCGGCTAGTCAGGAGTCAGAAAGCGGGCCGAGGACGGCGACCGCCTCGATTTCAACCAGTGCGCCCTGCAGAGACAAGACCAATCAGGATACCAAGGATACGAACATTTCTAATAAAAAGAAATTATGTTTTCATCAAATACGCAGATTCATTAAAATGATATTGTTATTGCTATAGCTGCCCTCAGGATCTGGAATTGCCCAACAACTGATAAAGCATTTTTTTATTTGGCAGGTTTACTGTTTCAACAACAAAATTGGAAACTGCACACACTGACTATGTAATATTAAAGAGTTTCTCCGAAATTCTGAAGTCTTCTTCCACAGGAAGCATATAATATACGGTACTCTAAAATATACCAGAAAGTGGAGAGAAAATGCATTTTTTCCCCATTTCAATTAGACTGCAACGTTCAAAATATATTTTGTTTTAAAATATCCAATTTTAAAATAATCTTTTTGGACGAGTTTCACACCGTTAAAGACATGTTTACATTGCTCCTGTGTGTTTTTAATAGAAATAATGCTATTCATATATCCATAAAATTCAGTTAGAGAAGGATTTGATTGTTCTAACCAAAGATGCATCAATATTGAAAGAAATTTTTATTGTCTTGTATCAATTCATTTATTTAGTAATTCATTATTTCTCAGTAAAATATTTAAAACCCTAAAAAAAAAAAAAAAATAGTTTGATACCTGCTTTAAATGGACACAAAATAGATAAATAAAATAGGGATATAATAATCCAAAAAACAATGCATTGGTTCCTCTTTTGATAAATGTAGGATCAAGATGGTGTTTCTAATTGATTTCAATGAGACAATTTAGGCTAATTTTTAAATGAAATTATTCTGCAAAAGATAGAATAAAATATTTTCAGTTTGTTGATGCAGAAAGATGCTATAATTTGATGGAAAATATTAAAATGAATGACACCAAATGTCTCTTAAAGGTTAAATTAACTAAAAACCAAATTTGGTCAATACTCACTCTAGGCAAAGCAGCCACCTGATAGGCAGCCCTGGCTGGAAAGTTGGAGCTAAAAACTGTCAGAAAAAGAGGTGAAATGAGAGGTTATGTTTAAAGATGTGTCATCCTAGAAAAAAAAAACAAAACAGTTATTTTGTGGAATTTCCAGAAATAATTTATTGAAGCCAAAAATAAATCAACACATCAGACACTAGTTTTTTTTTTTTTGGTTTTTTTTTGCGTCACTGTGAAGTGAGAAATGGGCAGTTTGGCTGCTGCACAACACTAGATAAAGGCTGTTACACATTCCTGCTCTATAGGAGGGAGAAGCTGAAATACATCTCCAGCCTCAATTCATTATAAAGGGCGTCACTCCAATATACATTTTTTTACTGCCTCTGCAGAATTTTTATTGGTTTCTTGTAATATTTCAGTGAAAGCAGCGGGGATAATATAAACTCCTGGGTAAAATGTTTAAACCAACAACAAGTAATCTATTTCTTCTTCCAGTGTGATGCATAAAGGGTTTCTGAATGAAAAGTTCTCTGTATTTTCTGATAGTCTTTGGTTACCTTAACTTGTGGTTATTTCTGTTCAGCAGTTGACCCTATTAATGGTTAATAATGGAAAAGAAAAAAAAAAACAATAACAAAAGCCCTAAACATAAAAAAGCAGATTTGTTAAAAACAGTTAGCGTCTGGCTCATTGAAAGTCAAATGTCAAAACATGTGGAATGACCCAAGACATGCACTAATTACAATTCTTAAATATTTTTGCTTTGGCTTTCGAATGACTGAGGACTCATATTTCTTATCCTCTCAGTAGGTTCAGAGAAAGTTTCTCTGCAGGGTTGAATGGCATCTTCAGGAGGCCGTTGCTCAGGTGCACAGAGGCAGTGTTCTGAGAAGCAGTGCTTGCTGGGAAAGGTTGGGTTACATCAGCGTGCTAATGTAATGGTGTCCACTTACAACTCTGCGGACTCTACAGGTTCCATTACACCCGACTGTTGTAATCCAGGAGGAAAAGCCCAAACACGTTCAATGCACTGATAAAGCAGAATAAGAGCTCAGCAAGGCAGTATGCAGGATCAGCTCCTCACTCTCTTTTTTCTTTAGACCTTTTTAATGAATTTGATATAGAAAGTTTGCAGTCATGTTCTTTTCTGCATTGGAAGATTAAGGCAGAAAACAAGCGGACATGTCGACCCAGTCCTGATAACATTTTTGGGTTTGGATTAACTGTTCCTTCCTCTTAACACGTGACCCAGGTTCTGGTGTCCAGGAAAGCAGGTACAACCAGCCCTTTCATCTAGCAAACAGCATTCCTTTTGTGGATATTCATAATAACTTCATAATGACACTAAACAATAAATATTCTTCCCAAGTTCCACTGAAAATAAAAAAAATTAAATGCACATTTTTGCTTGTTTATTTTGTCCAATTCTGTGTGACTGATATGTCCATGGTGTACCAATAGTTCATCCAGTGTCCACTGGAGAAAAGCATCCCAAACCAGGACAAGCTGGTATGGAGGATGTATGGATGTATGCACCACTGACACCTTAGGATGTACTAGAAATAGTCATTTGTTATTAGGGGTATTATAATAAACATAAAATAATAATAAATGAGAAAAAAGGTGTTAGATGGGATGAAGTCTAATTTGTATCATAAACATTATTTTTCTTTGTAAGTTATAGCTGACAATAAATAAAATCCTGCCTGCCGCGGTTTCGGATGCAGGGCACTTCTCACTATTGCCCCCTTGTGGCGCATCCCGGGTAATACATAAGCCTTTAGCTGATAATAAATACAAACATAATTTGATTAACTTCCCCAATAATTCTACCAAATTAAAAATGGTATAGAGAGTAAAGTTACTTTGTGATTGAAATACTACTACCACCCCAGCTTAATCTTAATTTTATATAATTTTCACAGAACGAAAACATTTCGACTACGTCATTTTTTCCCATAATACATTGCACCCGCTCAGTATAGGATTATGTTCATTATACTTTGCTTTTAATCCAATTTCTTTTTGTTTAAGACATAGCAATCGTCACTAAAGTGTAAAGTAGATAGGAACTGTTGTTTCAGTGGAATACTAGAACTGATTTGGCTCCGGCCGATAAACCGTTAGTTAAAAAGCTATATCATGGATTCAAAATGTCTTCTGCCCCGTCAATATAACAGACACTCTTGTTTCTCTTCAGATCGTATAAATCTTTCGCCTTTTACTAAAGATTTCCGTGGAGAGGAACAACAAGAGTTTTACCCAATTTTTTGATGCCTTGCTAACAGCGGGGCGTTCTAAGTTGTTGAAGAAAAGATTATAATACAACATTAATTCACTGAACGAGAGAAGGTTGATTTCTCCAATAGTAATTGACAATTTATCTTATTGAATATGATTATTAGTTATCTCCGCTATGTTATGCTAGAAGTAAAAATGTGCAAAACAGGATTATAAACAGTGAAAGTAGTCGGTGCACAGTGTGATAAACCGCAAACGGCCACTAGATGTCCTGCTAGCAATAGGATACAGCAATCCAGAGTTCAAATTCACTAAAGCTGAATTCAGAAATTCCAGGATAACACATAATCCCAGGCCTAAACTAGCGTGATAAATGCACCCTCCCTTCATCTGCTCCATAAAGGCCAAGCAAGGGTCCAAAGGTGCAGCCATAGGTGAAGCTTTCAATCCAGGTGTAACTAATCGATCTAAGAGACCTTGAGGTCGATCACAGATTAATGGATTCAGCAAACAATGGTGGCTGGACTAAATGCTTTAAGAGCCTAAAATCCATATTTCTTTATTTCCTAACCACTTCGCTCAGGAGCAAACATGCTTATTTAAGCAAGCTCATTTAACACACTAATTTACCTTGCTTTTTGTAAGGCTGAATTCTACACAGGTTATCATAAATTACAACAATATACCAAAGCTGAGTAGGAAAACGGACAGCTACATTTTGTGTTTCAGAGGGTACGTACTATATATCAATTAAATAGTTCATCTATGTGGAAATTCTACAGATACATCACAGAACTGAAGAAATACAACAGTAACTAAACATTTACCTTTTTCTAACTTTTGTGCACCATAGAAATAACCTTATATCAATAAAAAGAGATGAAATTAAAGAGCATACTAAAATATGTGAACCATAGCTTTGTTTGTTAGTTAAAGCAATGTAATTAGGCATATTCCGGGTATGTATGCAAATAGAAATAGTACATTTCAATTTTAATTGATCCCCAACTCAAAGCTTTTAAAATAACAGAGTAAAGTGTTAGACAGGAGATGGAGTTATTGTTCCTTATGTTGGGATCTAAATGGTCCATTAGTATTTAAAAAATGGCTTACATGTCTTGTAGATGTCGTTGACAGAGTTGAAGTCATTTATATCTTTCAGCAGCACAGTGGTCTTCACCACTAAAGTGAAACACATTTAGGTTCACAATCAAAACAATCAATAAAGGTAAGAAGCAGGAAACTGAATAGATGACTTCTCACCGTTAGTGTAGTCACAGCCTGCTGCTTTAAGGATTTCTCCCATGTTACTCAGAGCCTGAATAAAATAGAGAGAAGGAAGACTGAAAAGGGCTTAAGGAGTATGTAAGAGTAGATTGTGAAACCTTGGGTCAAGTTTGAAGGGAAGGTTAAATGAGTGGTTACTAGTGTTCAGGGAAAGTTCACCTGTTTAGTCTGAGCCTGCACTCCTCCATCCACCAGCTGACCAGACGCCACATTCATCCCAATCTGGCCAGAGATGTACATGGTCCTGTCCACCACCACCGCCTGGCTGAGAGGAAAGCACAAACACAGATTTGTAAAATATGTGACCAACATCAACACTTAAAGAGTGAACAGATCAGGGAGAAAAAAGCGGATCAGCACCAGAGCCTCATGGTCTATCTACACTGTTCCAACAGGAAAATGAACAAGCAAAACATCCATATTTTCTAAATAAAGATTAACTATATTTTCCTACAGCCTTTGCTAACAAATAGACGCATATATTTAAACATCTGTAATTTATAGATAAAAGGTATAGTGGATAAACCTCAGTTTTCAGTTCTGGGGTGTAAAATCAATCATCATTGTCATTACTTACCTACTTGTATCAATAAACATTCAGCATAACATTGATATTGACAAGCACCAATATTGACAAGCACCAATATCTACATAAATGGATTATTTGAGAAGTTTTTATTAAAATTGTTATTAATCTTTGATTTCACTGAAGACTCCTAGATGACTTGCAGTCAGAGACACATCATTTTCTCTTTACCCCATAAAACACAAAATCTAGCTCTGAAAAGAGCATGAATTCTGTACTACATCAAAGATGATCATCTTTGATGTTAGTATATTGATGTAATTGTATAAACAATTATATTGTTATAATTGTAAATATATTGTATAATCAACCACAAAAAATAAAATGTTTTGAATATTCCACTTGAGAGTATTACTGCTGCCACAACCTGTATTAGAGGGGGGGGAAATGGTAGTGGTGGCTGCAAGGTGGGCCAATGATTGGCTAAGGCCCCTGGCCCCCCATCTAGCTCCGCTCCTGGTAGGATGAAGAAAATCCCCTCCTATAGTAATGTTTATCCATTACGTACACCCTACATTTATGACCATATGAAACTTTAATAATTTTTAACTGGTTTCATTCATTTTAAGCTCAATTAAAACAATGTATGAAAGGGTTCATATTCAGTAAATACTTGCAAATATATAGTTATTAATTATAAAACTATGCTTTGATTCAAGCAGTAACAAGATGTTTTCTTTGGTGAGTTTTGGGTGACATGTTCAAATCTTTGACAGGGATACTGCTTTAAAAAAATATCACGATGTATTATAAATTAACCTACATATTTATGAACAGTTATTGAAACAAATTCACTTTCAATTTTTGTTTATAATGATTTCCCCATACTGTTCAATTAGGCTGCTAGGATCTCCACCCACCACAGGAGGGCGCTGTCGCCTCGCTGTACAACCAAGTTCTACAGCTAATGTTACCTTTTATATTTCTTCTGCTGTTTTAGATGATAATATACTAAATTACAAAGAAGCTTCCGGTCTTAATTCTGATTAATTGAACTTAAAAATAAAACACAATCACAATCATGCTCCCGTTAACTAGCATCTGTTTGGTCAGATAGGAAACCAAAGACAGCGCCCCCCCATTAAACATTACCTAGAAGAAAAACAACTGTTGCATTCTTTGTTTTTCAATTAAAGGGCACCAAAGTTTGGTCATAACCTTACCTATAAATCCCCTGTCTCACCGGGGCTGTTGGTGTATAAATGATCTTCCGAGGAATTGCTGCCATATCAAAGCTGTCTGTCCCCCCAATTTATTAAGCTCTGCAGCTGCAAAGTTAAACTGCTGCACTTTGAGCTGCAGGTGAGTTCATTGGACAGACGGTTCCGCCCCTAAACCAACATGAGGCTAACCTTTTATTCCCTGCAAACTTTCACATATTGCATGAACACAAACATGAAGCAGGTGCAGATCTCTAGTTACCTGTAAGGACCGATGGCAGCTGGAGCTGCTGAGGTGTAAACAATCTTTCTGCTGAGTGCAGCCATGTTTCTCTTTTCACTAGATGAGCTGTGTTTGAATGAAATGGTTGTGCAACAGCTTTTAAGAACGCTTTGCCTGTAAATTATCCCGTAAAACCCTAGTTAGCAGCAACAAATTGGAGAAGCATCCCGCTGCAGCCTGATGTACTTGACAAATTGCGCTAAGAGAGGGGAAAACCTAATATGAAATGTCATTGCGCTTCTAGAACATATGTTACGGTATCAGAGGTTGCTGTGGCTTTTATATCAGGGGCAAATCTCAAGTTCAAAGTTTACTTCAATCACATAGAAGCAAAGATCTCAGTAACTTTTATTACACGTTTCCAAAGCATTACAAATAAGATAATAAATTAGAAGGGTTTTAATGCTTACATTCCACTCCGCATAAAGTCAAAATGTAAATAAGCAGAAACTGTATTTCAGAAAAATTATGGGAAAAGCAGAGTAAGTTTCCTATTTTAAATTGTACATAATTTTAAAGGAGTCCTAAACAAAGCTACACATGCATAGTTGGAAAGACAGATCAAAACAGCTGTTTGGCCCAGGAAGGGTGGCGGAAATTTCCCACTTGATAAAGGTTGTTACAGAAATAGAGTCATTTTCTGTGCAATTCAAAGCAGAGCAAACTTAAAAAGGTTCAAAATTACTTGATTCTCATTTCTTTTTTTTATGCAGTTATGGTTTACATGATCTAGTACCGATCCAAACAGTTGAACAATTGTCTGCTTAGTGCAGATAAGTCAGTGAGACGTTGTAACAGAGATGTTCACTTAAAATAAGGACATCCACATTCATATGTAACAGAAACCTGGAAAAAATTTAAAAGTGATGGACTTTTACAGTTTTTTTTCAGTCAGGGTCAATGTTGACATTAAGAATGGAGACAATCTCAAGCTGAACAAAAGGCAACCATCAAAGCATAGACAGCAATTATATATGGAATCAAACACTTGAAAACGTTTTTCGTTTTGAAGGTTTAGCTTGAAATTTTCAAAAAGTCAAGATAAAATTTTAGAGATGCACCAATCAGGGTGATATAGTCAAAGCAAAATGAAAAAAATGCAGCTTCTTTGATAGAGATTGAATGGAATCCAACAGAGTTAAAGAATCCCGTTATTACCAGTTATGCATTATAGGGCCTTAAATGTTCTTTATAGTTTGAGTCATCACATCAGTGAATAAAATTATTAATATCAAATCTTTTATGGCTATGATATTCCATATACATAAAGAAACATGGTAACATCCTGTTAGGTCGCTCCAGGCTATATCACCTAACGGCAAAAGTTGCTAACAGATCATTACAAGCAGAAAACAGGAGAATTTGGATTAATTTTTTAATATTGTGCAACAATAATATCATTATAAAGTGTGTATCAAAGCTACTGGGTTTTGTTGCTTTCAATGAGCGAGGAAGAAATTTGATTTTGTTTTAAAGGTGATCCATTCTGATCTGTAGCCAATAAATTGATGCATCCCTAATATTGATAATTTAGCATTAGCTCTATTTTTTAAGTGGTGCTACTACTTGTTAGTGCATGAGGGTTAAGAGGAACCCTTATAAACAATGGATGCATCACTGCCTTCTGTCATAATGGCGGCAGAAGACAAATCTCTGCTGCACTGCAGCTTCCATTTTCTGAGCAATTATTTATTTTATATCTGACTCTTTAAGCACAGAAACCTTATTTTTTTGTAGAAATGGAGCCAAAGGCTTCTGTGCAAACAGGTTCCATGCTTAAAAAGTCTTTAAAAATGTTCCTTCACTGACATCAAAATAATAAATACAAAAACAGATGAAGCATTATTGCTGCAGGGAAAGTATGCAAAATGACAAAGAGGGACGTACTGGGTCCATAACCGTTTAGTTTGGGTGCCTTGAAACCATGATTATAAAGAGGAAGATTCTTAGAAAACAAACAACTTCAGAATATTTTTAACCAGCAATAGCTTTACAACAGTCAGGAAAGGTTTTTTTGTTTTCATGTCGTCCAACTCTGGCTAAACTTTTTATTTTCATTTTAAATAGTAAATGTCACTGTAAGCTAAAAGAATGATGCGTTTGTATTTGACCTAAGAGGCACTAAGATACATGGAGTCTGTTAATGCAGAAGGTGAAAGAAAACCAAAACATCTTAAATGAATTCAAAACCAAAGCTTGTGGAGTTCTCATGGTTCAAGTGGAGTATACATAAGCTGAACCACATTGTTTCCTTTACAGCTTCTGTAGTTTTCAGAACAGTCTGTTTACTTTTATTACATCGCTTTTTTTTTAAGGCATTCTCACTGTCAGCATAATTCTGATTGTCTTTGGTCATGGATGAACCTCCACCACAACATCTAATGGAGGTTATTTCCAAACTAGGCTCTGTGTTATATTTACATTAGAAGTAAAAAGACTGAGGTGGGGGAGGGGGAGCACTTCATTAAATCTGCTGCATCCACAGCTGGAGGACTGACTTCCTTACATGCTGACGGTGACTCCCAGTGGACGCTATGAATGACATGGCTGCCAGTTTTCTGAGGAAAGAGGAAATTCCTTTTTAAGATGGCCCCTGGGTCACTTCTCTTTTTTTTTTGCCCACAATTCTGAGAAGTGTTGACCAGAAAACAGCAGAGATGACATTTAGGAAGCAGCATCTCACTTCATTTAGTGGTTAGGACAATAGAGAGGATCTAGATAAGAACAACATGGTGGTCTGGTTCTCCTGCTGGCGCAGAAGTTTGTTGCTGGCGTTGGGAAAGGAACAGGTGTTTGGGGGGGGAGCCCTTAAAAGTTCTGTTGTCTTCGCTTTTTAGCATCCATTGCATCCAGGATGGGTTGCCTCTTGGCAGTGTAGCGCTGCCTGAGCTCCTCAATCTCCCGCTCCATCATGGGATCCAAGGCACTGAGGCGCAGCTGCAGCTCCTCAAAGTCCAGGTTCTTTAACTGAAAACAAAGATTGAGGAAAAAAAACTATCAACTTTAATAATTCACAATCCTTTAAACGACAAATTTTAGTTGGAGAAGTACAAACAGGAACAAATGGTAATAAAATGGAAAGAAAGATGGAGCAAATGGACTGACAGTCCTGTAATAATTTTATTACCCTTTGGGTAATAAAATTATTACAATCTTTTCCCATTCATACTTATTATGAACATTAAAAAATGCCCTCAATAGTACAGATTTTAGTCTGAAATCTACCCAGACACTCACAAAGTCAAAGTCTCCATCCTGTGGAACCTTCCAGTTATCAGGGAAGACATTTTTGGACTGGATGTGGTAGCCAGGCTGCTCCGGAGGCTGATTGTGGTTGTAGTTCTCCTGCTGCTTATCAAAGTAGTCCATAAAGGAAGGACGTATGGGCTGCTGGGGGGTGGCATTCCCTGGGAATGACAAAAATAAGCACCAGTATAACAACTTAGAAAAACAAAACAACATCTGGGATCAAACTGAGCAATTATTTCTCATGTAAATATAAGGCTGGAGAATAATTAAATATCATTTTATATCACTTTGTAATTGTACTCAACATTGATAGGAGTGTTTAGCTGCTAATCTCTAACGCGGTAAGTTTTAGCTATTTTAGATGACCAGCACAAGACAAAAACTGGCCCTGAAAACATCTCTGAGTGCTCAGAAAGCAACAGCTGGTTACGCAGCTTGAAGTTACACTCAGAGCTGAAGAGCTTAGCGCAGCCTTTAAATAGGAGAAGAAGGCAAAAGCTTGTCACCACTGACAGAGAGCCAATCTGTGACATTATGGGATGGGTGAATTGATTTGTTCTCGTCACAAAGTGTTCATCAAAAGTTTCTGAGAATCAATTTGGGACTTTTAGTCTGCATTTTCAGAGTTAATTATGAGTTATTAGTCATTTTGCTAATAATCAATTCCTATGCTAATATAGCAAAATGTATAGCATACTACTTCAAAATAGGAAAATAAATATAACCATTGGTAAAACAAGCCAATCAGGCACTAATAGTATATATATATATATATATATATATTATATATATGAAAGATAGGATAATAATAAAACTTCCCCATTTGGTGCTGTCCAAATACAATAGCTGGTGGCTTCAGGTGGGGGACAAACTCCGAAAAAAACTAAACTGTAAGCTAAACCCAGAAGACATTTCAGAGGAGTGAAAGAAAAAAACTTCAGGGTGCCTGAACAGCGACGTGTTTTCTGCATAAATAGACAAATTAACTCTTTAGATGGCTAAGCATGGTGCTTTGCTAGCCTCGTCTTGTTAGGGAGCGGCTAATAGGGTTAGCAGTGATAAAGTTAAAGCGGTACTTTACTTGCCCCTTACTTTTGCAAAACACTCTACATGTATGTTTTGATGACACAAAATTGATACTAACCAACAATAGTCTTTCTTTTAACTCTAAACAAAGTTTTTAAATGTTTCTCAGTCCTGCATGAAACCTTTCATGAATAAAGGATGTGCTCTTACTTCTCATTGAACCCTGGTCTACCTCGTCTTCTTCGTCATCACTATTAATGACCATAGTCCCCAGATCTGACTCCAGCATGGTGCTGCCATGTTCAATCATGGTCTGGGCCCCATCGCTCATGGTACTGGTGGCCCGCATGGTCCCTGCCCCCTCAGAGCCCGACTTCACCATCGTATGCGAGTCCATCTCTGTCTCTTCCTCCTGTTGGAGGAGAAAAAAAAAAGAACATACAGCATAGAACCATATAAATATAACCAGGCAGTAAAGACTTTAGACACATACAGAGTTATCCTCCTCCTCCTCCAGCTCTCTCTGCTGCTCCTGCTGCCTTTTGGCTTTCATATCCATGGCTTCAGTTATCAGATCTCTAAGGATTGTGACGGGTTTAGCCTGGCTGATGAATGGATGCTGCACAAGGAAAACAAAAATATCATTTTTATTTGCTAAATATTTTTTTGTTTATAGCTGAGGTGTATCTGCCCCAACCTGTAGAAGCTGTGTTGCAGTTGCTCTCTGCTCAGGGTTTTTGACCAAACACTTCTTGACAAAGTCTGTGAATTCATCCGACCAATGCTCTGGCTTCCTAAACGTAGGAGGAGGGTTGGTGGGGATCATAAATATCGCCTGTAGGAAAGGTTGCAGAGGAGGACAAAGAGTTAAAATGGCATCTGAAGCACCAACTGAGAAGAAAAACAAAAAAAGCACTCACTCTCATAGGGTGGATGTCAGCATAAGGAGGTTTACCCTCTGCCATTTCTATGGATGTGATGCCCAGAGACCAGATGTCTGCTACACAGTTGTAGCCGATCTCCTGGATCACCTCTGGAGCCATCCAGAACGGAGTACCAATCACAGTGTTTCTTTTTGCCATTGTGTCCTTTGAAAGAAAATGATTCCATTAATATAGTTCCTTTGACTTAACAAAAACTAGCAAACATATTATATAAAATATATTTCAAAATCATTAAAAGCTCTTTTTACCATCAAAATGCTTACTTAAAACAATGCAAACATCTTTCAAAACAAATCTATTAACAGAACTTAGAGGAATAAGCTTAAGGGGTGCAGAACTTGAACTTTGATATTTTACAACCAGAATCTCTTCAATCTTATTAGGATTTAATGTGAAATACCAAAACAAAGCAGAGCCCAACTTTAAAGTGCAGAGGAAACATAAATGGTCCTCAAAAGATTGGTTCAATTCTGTATTAAGGTTGGCTGAATCACAGCTTGGTACATATATAATTTACTGTTACTTTACAGTGCCTTACAAATGTTTTTTTGCAGTTGTAAATTTGGATCCCCATTAGCTGTTGCCATGGCAAACAGCTTGTCTTTCTGTGGTCCATATTAAAAACATATCATAAAAAACACAATCAGGAATATTAAGTTAGTAAAGGTCTTTTTTTGGTTATATTTTACCGTTAATTGTCCTGCAACTCCAAAGTCAGCCAGTTTGGCATGACCCTCGGTGTTGAGAAGGATGTTCCCTGCCTTGATGTCACGATGGATCTTTCTCATAAAATGAAGATATTCAAGACCCTTGAGGGTTGACTTCAGGATGGTGGCAATCTCATCTTCTGTTAGCTGGTGTGAGAGGAAACAAAGACAAGTATAGGTTTACGACAATTGCTGAGATTTAGTGTTCCATCCTGAGACACACTATTCAATAAGATGGGATGTCAACAACTAAATAAATTGTCTTAAAAAAATCATTTTAAAACACAAATACTCGCATAAACTTCTATGTATGTCAGATGTACTGACAGAGCTAAAAGTCTTGGTGTACACACCGTTTTGCTTCGGAGCCTGATAATGTCTGAAACAGATCCAGCTCCACAGTATTCCATGACGATCCACAGGTCTGTGTTCTTGAAATAACTTCCGTAGTATTTTACAACATAAGGGCTGCAAGGAGAAAGGGCTGATGGTTAAAAAAGTTTTATTAACTGTGTTATAATTAATTTATTTAACAAAACCAGTGTGGTCGCCTCACCTGTCACATTGCTGCATGATGGAGATCTCCTTGATGATTTCCTGAAGATCAGACTCCACAGGAACCTGCTTAATGGCAACGACCTGCCCCGACTCCTTATGAATGGCCTTAAATACGCTGCCATAGGAGCTAAAAACAAAGATTACGTTAAACAAACACCTAGTATAGAATGAGGTTACATCAAGGAGTAAAAGAATAGATGTTTAAAAAGGGAAAAGACTACTTACCCTTCACCTAGTTTCTCCAGAACATCAAACACTTCCTCTGGCTGTTTGGTCAAACTATCCTCACTCAGCTTTTTTAGCTTACTGCAAAATAAAACAAGTTGTATTTTAATCACAGTAACCCTAATGCCATCCATCCCACTTGTTTTAGTTGATGCAACATCTAACTGACAGATAAATGCACAAAGCATGTTCAGAATCTTTCCAGGGAAACTGTAAAATTGATAATATAAGAACTGTTCTAGTTAATAAAACAATTAATAAGAAGTTCTAACAAGCAACTTTTATTAGCGCAATGAATAAATCACTTTCAAATGACTGTTCTCCCCCGCAACTTCAAATAAGGCAATCTGACACATAAGCTGAAAATGACTGCGCCTCATTTGTTTTTCTCGAGTAGAAACGAAAATGATAGTCCTTCAAACGGCCCTAACATCTATCATTACGATTTAATATAAGCAGGCAGTGTATTAACAGTTTTTATATCACGCCTAATGAATATTTTTGATCTGATAGCTCTTTGTAGTGAAACTTTAAAATAAAACTAGCGCTAAGTTAGCTTAGCGTTAGCTAGTGGCTCTGCCGCATACATTAGCAGATTTTAATAGCTATTTAATTGAGCGTTCGGAAACGTCCACGAACCTTTTCGGCGCGGACGGCTCCATGGTGGCCACACGAAAAAATAATAAGCACCGTTAAATATGAAATTGTAAGGCCTATTAAGTCAGAGACAGCCACGACACTGACATCGTCGATAAAGTAGGCTGTTTGTCATAAAGTAGTGGAGGCCAGCGGGCCAGCTAAGGGGGAGCTAGTTAGATGATGGACATGTTAGGGGTTCTAATGGCACCACACCGCCTCCATTCGGCAGGGAATGGAACAACAGAATTAAATCAAGAGCGCCTATCCAAGAAAAAAAAAAATAATGGTAAAAAAAAAGAAAAGAAAAAAAAAAAACTTTTGTTATAAAGGCTGTTAAGAACTGGAAAATCACTTTTCCAAATCTTTTTTTTTTATAAGCCTAGGACAATACCAACAACAAGTATAACCAAGCCCCCTAGTATGACGACCAAGGCTGAGTGACAGAGTACCCTCTGAAAACTACATACCATCCCCAATACATGGAAATGGCTGGACAAAGACACTAATCATGGCAGCACAGTACAAGATCAAAAGAGGCTGGGGTCTACTACACTATGCAGGACCCCTGGTGCAGACTGTGCAAAGATGCCCCTGAAACAATACAATGAAGGCAGGAGTGGAATGGAATGGAATGCATTCCATGTATGCACTTCCTGCCTGTATCATTGTATTGTGGTAAAGGGATTCTGAATAAGGAAGGCTATCACTCAATTTTGCAACACCATGCCATACCCAGTGGACAGCGCTTGATTGGAGCCAATTTCATGCTACAACAGAACAATGACCCTAAACACACCTAAACACACCTCCAAATTGCGCAAGAACTATTTAGAGCAGAAACAGGCAGCTGGTATTCTGTCGGTAATGGATTGGCCAGCGCAGTCACCGGATCTGAACCCCATTGAGCTGTTGTGGGAGCAGCTTGACCGTATGGTAAGCAAGAAGTGCCCATCCTACCAATCCAAATTGTGGGAGCTGCTTCTGGAAGCGTGGGGTGCAATTTCTCCAGATTACCTCAACAAATTAACAGCTAGAATGCCAAAGGTCTGCAATGCTGTAATTGCTGCAAATGGAGGATTCTTTGAAGAAAGCAAAGTTTGATGTAAAAAAATCTTATTTTAAATACAAATCGTTATTTCTAACCTTGTCAATGTCTTGACTCTATTTTCTATTCATTATACTCAAAACGTTTGAACGGTGGTGTATATATATATATATATATATATATATATATATATATATATATATATATATATATATATATATATATATATATCAACGGACGTTGTGGTGGTGGTGGTGGTAGACATAACAATATCAAGTGACTGCAACATCATGAAAAGCAACATCAGAAACTAGAGAAAAACCATGGGCCCAGAGAAGAGCTGGAGAAAAGGTCAAGGCATCAGTGTTATCCATGGTCATTGGGGCCCTTGGGGCAGTGACTCCCAAACTGGAGGAGTGGTTACAGCTGATCCCTGGAAATAAGTCAGACATCTCGGTCCAGAAGAGTGCAGTTCTAGGAACAGCAAAGATACTGAACATTTCTGAAGGTAAATTGAATGCTTTTGATGCTGCCATGCATTGCACACTCTTGATATTGATATTTTAAAGAAAACTTTGTTCTGCATAATTATGGCTCATAGAAGCTATATATTATTTAAATTTTTATTTATGTAATGTAAGCTATTTTTTCTCAGTCTTATAATATCCAAAATAAGACACAGGTTGAAATATATTGTGGAAAAATAGAAAGGGTCCTGCAGGATGCTGTATGACCAGAAGGATCCAAACAAAGATAATAGGCCAGATACAGTTACATATTAAAATGACGATGCTCTGTGTTTTAGCTGTGTACAGCAACGGTTTAGAAGCTTTAACTCCAAAAGTGTAGTTTATCTTCTCTCATGACATGAGTAATGCTTCCATGAGCCTCATGGAAAATTTACAGATAATGGCAGGAGTATTACCTAAACGTATCATTACACTCTGATCCTGCTGGTGGCGCTAATGCACCTCTAGATGATCTGTGGAAAACTGCAAAGAAGAAAACCGGAAACCACCGTTTCGTCACTTGCGCGCATGGAGTGAGAAAGAGGGGTAAACAGTTAGCATTTTCAAAGGTAAACCTAGCTTTCTCTTATTTTTAGAGATTTACTTTATATTTTAAACATGTATTCGTTTTATTATTGCTTTAGTAACATCGTGTTAATTATCTCTTATTCGAAAAATGAAGGGATTGATTTAGACCCTCTCCATCGGCACCATGCTGTAACTATTAGCATCCTGTACTAATTCATCAGATAATATTTGGTTATTTCTTCTGTTTTTGTTTTTTTAGAGTAAAATGGACGCACAGAAAGATCTGCAGCCGCCCAAACAACAACCGATGATCTACATCTGCGGAGGTAATCTTTATGGATTACATACAGCCACAGTTATTACTAACAATAAACGCTATGCATTTAAATTAGGCTCTGCATTATAGAGTCGTGAGTTCTCTAAATATAAAAGTGTCAAAGATGTATATTTTTACACTCATTTTAGAAATTGATTCTTTTGTATAGGTTCATTCCAAGTCCATTTATTGTAATTGTTTAAGATTATGGGTTACATATAAAATTCAGTATATTGGAGAATGTTACCAGGGTTCCTGCAGATACTTAAAAAGTTTTAAAAGGCATTGAATTCTTCAATATACATACTTGGATTTAGTTATATATATATATATATATATATATATATATACACTGTATCTGGAGCGTGTAACAAAAGTAATTTCCCTCTGGGATTCAAGTATTTCTGATTCTGATAAAATCTGAAATGTCTCTGAAATGTCTTAAATCAGTCTTTCATAGGTCTAAAAATTGTTGCCACATCATAAATAGGATTTTATTTTTGTAATCCATATCAAACATTTAAATAATTGACAATTTTTTTCTTACATTTACCGAACTCCTCACTGTAACCATTATAGGTTCCGTCCCAATAGCGGAACGAATAAAAAAGATGTTGCGGCCAGACCTTTGGGTGATATGCCAGTAACTTTTTATCTGGACACTGTGGGGAAGTTTTAAATTCAATGAAAAATAGGCTATCCAAGAGTTTTCTGCATGGTTAAAACCACTGCCAGGGAATGTAGATGGAGCATGATTGGAATCAAGGCAGTGGAGACACAAGTATGAAACCCAAAGTGTCAAAATCAAGTGATTAGAAGCAGCAGGTATTTGTCCGTTCTGTTCCACCCCGGTCTCTGCAACGCCTCCACAGCGTCTCTCACATCACCACCAGCGCCAGTAGAACCAAATCTCAGGATAATGTTTGGTGGTAAGCCGACTATGAAAGTAGAGCGATTGAGAAGGGAACAAAACAAAGTTAGTGAATTCAGTTCAGTAGTTGCTAAAAATATCTGTTATTTGTGTGTTTTCAGCTTTCTTCCTATATGGAAAGTTTTTCAAAATTTGAAACACATCTACTGGCCCAGAAAGTAATGGTTTAAAATAAACATTTTGGGTAAATTTGTCGTTCCCAGGTTTTTCTTTTGTTTATTGTTAGGTTGATCTTAAATTTTTATTTTAAGTGGCATTAAACAGTCTTGAATTTACCTTGCCTTATGCCTTAGGAACCCTGGTTACAGAAGATAAATAAAACAATAATATTTTTAATGCCAGTATGCACCCTCTGAAAGTTTTTATTTTTATAACCTCGTTGCTTCTCTGGGCCTCCTCCTTGCACACTCTACTCTATTTATGCAGTTTGGCATGAAGGCTAGGACCTTAGGACCCTGCTGAAGTGTAATAGAGGCTTAGTATGATTTGGTAGCTGTATTTAAGATAACTGCATCATTGATCTTGGTACAGTATCTTTCCAGTGGCTTTTAAAGTCTGAAACAGAGGTAAACCTCTCAAAACTTTCAAAGCATCACTAGCTTTTGTTAGTGTTGAATGAATAAATGGAGTCCTAAGTGCTCACAACGATTAATTATGTCTTTTATCTGGTAATGCCTTAGAACTTGCTGGATGACCTGACTGTCTTTTCTTGCAGAATGTCACACTGAGAATGAAATTAAAGCACGTGATCCCATCAGATGCAGAGAGTGTGGCTACAGAATTATGTACAAGAAGAGAACAAAGAGATGTATCCTTTTCTTCTGTGTTTCTGTTTAGGTACAAACTGTAAAATGTGTTGTTTGTGTTTAAATTAAGTGTGTAAAACCAGATATGCTCTGAGCGCACATTTCCTTAACTCTCTGATTACAGTGGTTGTATTTGATGCCCGGTGAAGAAGTGCAGAGTGATGGATTTTACTTTAGTTAGTGTTTACTGTTTTTGTAGTGTCTCACCATGTAAATAAACACACTTGCAGGTCTGGCTTCTTTTTTTTTCTGCCATCAATTCATCTTTGTTTTAACCAAGGAATACTTAATTTTTTTTTATTTGTATTTCATAAAAAAAAAAATGTAAAAGCCTTTTTTAAAATGTGATATATTTTACTTTGTTTTGTTCACTGGGGAGCATTTCTTATGGACAAATAAACCAGATATAACTAAATATGCAGAAACGTTTCAGTCCTTTAGAATGACAATACAAATAATGTCTATTTGAGCAATTTCAAACATGTGACCTTTTGTTATATCAACCTATTTTGAATGGATTTAATGTTAAATTAATTTAAATTATGTTTTAATGTTCAGTTGATTAAGGCTAATGGCTAATAAAGACCTAACAAAAATAGAATATTGTGATAGACCGATAATAAAAGGAAACAGAAATATCCTACTGCGAATGATGTATGGGAAAGCATATGCTGTCTGTACTTGATCTGGGCTTCTTTACTTAATGCAGCCTGCAGAGGTGTAGCCCAAGGAGATTCAATAGCATCCTTCTGGTTGTCTGTATTTTTGGTTCTTTCTCATGATATAACTGTAGATCAATGGTCCCAAACTCCAGTCCTTAATGGCCTGTGTCCTGCAACTTTTAGAGGAATCCCTGGTAAAAAAAATACACCTGAATCATATACTAAGTCATTAATGGAGCTCTGAAGAACTTTGATCTATCCGAATACAGCAAATAGATTGCTACTCATAATGTAACTGAAACACATAGATGGTGCTTGTCAAATTGGGACTACAGCTTTCTGAAAGGAACAAAAAAAAAAGGCAAATTACATCTAAAGAACAGCTGAAGCTCTATGAAGGGACGCATGTCACCATACATGTGAGGAACACCAGATGGGAACATTTGGAGCTCCCTATGCTGAATAACCTCCCGACAGGAAGCATACAGGCTTTTTTTTTAAATCTTACTTACAGAACTTTTCAGACAGAACTTATAGCGACCTCTGATGCACTGCTGCTATGAATTAGGAGTGGTTACCGACTTGCAGTATTTGGATGGACCCCTTGGCTTCCTACTAGTGGAGAGGGTAAAGCATTTGATGTGTAGGAAAATTAAGACATCTAAAAGTAGTACACCAAACCTCCAGGATTTGCACTTTAGTCCACTTCATGTCAATTGTCTTCCACCTTGGTCCTCACGACCCACTTCCCTACATGTTTTACATTATTTTTCCTTCATGCACACATCTGACTGAAATAAATGATTAACAGACCTCTCTGGTATGTAATGGAAATCTTTTGATTCAGGTGTGTTGGAGCATTGATGCATCTAAAAGGTGGGACAGTGGGTCTTAAAGACCAGAGTTCCCTGGTTTAGGGTCAGACCAGTTTACACCACAATCATTGAACTAACCTATGGTATATAGTACATGGAGGTTACCAAGTCGTGCTGGAAAAAAGAAATTGGTGTCTCTATAATCCTTGGCTGCTTCCAAAAAGTCTGTAAGGACACGATGCCTTTTGTCTATAGGTCATTTACACAGGGACTTCTCAAAGGCTGAATCCCAAACTGCCCCTTAAAGGGGAACTCTGTTTTTTTTTTTTTTTTTTTACATTGGCCCCTGGATTTTACATTATTACATCATGTTCTATTCACCCATATAAGTTTTGTGTCATTTGGAGCCGTTCTGAAGATATTCCGTCAGGTTATATTAAAACAAAGCGGCGCGTGTATGACAACATTTCGCGCATGCGGACTGGAGTCGTAACAGGAAGCCCGGGCCACAGGCGGCTACGCTCTACCCCTTCTATTCATTCGGCTAGCTAATCTGAATCGTTCAATTCCATATCAAGAGCGATATCATCTGTGGTAGAAGCACTAGACATCTTCCAGGCATGTGAGTAAAACTAGCAGCAGTTCAGCGGACAGGAAGAATGAACGGTAGCCGGCGCACGCGGATGACGTCATACACGCACCACTTTGTTTTTAAAACATATAAATATAAAAAATATAACCGCGGATGTCTGGGGGACAGTGATTTGCCTACATGTTATGAATAATGGCGTACCATAAAGAATAAATTATGAACAGTTTAGTTTGTGCCTTCAACTCGTTTGCCCATAGGAAGATGTTACATGGATATAACCTAACGGAATATCTTCAGAACAGCTCCAGTTGAACCAAAAACCATATGAGTGAGTAGAACATGATGTAATAACGTAAAATCAAGGGCCCAATGTAAAATATAATGGTGTTCCCCTTTAAGCACTACATCTTATCTTAGTGTCACTCCTAATGAAGTCAAACTTGCAGCTGTGGTGAGCGCCTTTTTAAAGGTGGAGAATGGGATAGATGTTTTGAATTATTATTTTTTTTTTTTTATGAAATGTAATAGAGCTTTCTTTTTTTTTTTTTTTATGGGCTCCTTTGACAGATGGGGGGGGCGTAAAGGGCCCTACTTATGCTGGAGCCTCCCCTGCCTTCAGCTCTGAGTCTTCCCCATCAGCTGCAGCAGCTCTGCAACCCCCCCTATCATGACATCACTTCTGACACCTCCGAGAGGAGGTGTGTCCAGGAGAAATCCCTCATCCAGTCCACAGATGTAGCTGCAGAGGGAGAAAGGAGGAAGAGTTTGGACGCACTGCGGAGGGGAGCTCAGCCATGGGGAACGCGCAGGATAAACCCCCCGGTAGCAGCGGAGGAGGAGCGACCCCCAGGCGGGGACAGGAGAACCTGCAGGCTCCCAGAGCTGCTGGAAAGGAGGTGGCAAACGGCGCACCGAGAGAAAAACGCCGAGAAGGAGAGGCAGAGGAGCAGAAGCAGCAGTCGGAAAGCTCAGGAGGGGATAGGAGTTACCTTGATGCTCCGGCTGGAGCTTTACCTCCTCACCTGGCCCGGCTGAAGAATGAAGGAAACCACCTCTTTAAAAATGGCCAGTTTGGAGACGCGATAGAGAAGTACTCCCTGGCTATAGATGGATGTTATGAGGCAGGTGAGGAACAACTGAAATAAACCCCAGATTATATATATATATATATATATTAAAAAAAAAAAAAGCATCACAGCATTAAATTGGGCTTTTAATACACCAGAACCTGAACAGAAACAGTCTAACTGTCCTAAATGAATAAATTAAAAATATTATTACAATTTAAATTAGAGTAGATTTTCTTAAAACAATTTTTTTAGCTCTAACTTTAGTCAAAACAATCTATTTTTATAGATTGTTATTTATTGCAGTTACATGTAAATGCAGCAGATGGGTCACTCACTAAAATGTTAAAATATTTTATAAACTCCTAATGACCATAATGTTCCATTTTTTTAACAATCCCTGGAAAAAGAGTGTTCATTATTTTTAATTGTACCCCTTTACTCTGATACCTCTTACTAATATTCATTTGAACCAGTCCCCATTGCATCACTTAACAATAGCTTCAGTGAAGCTGCAGAGATGCAGAATGAGAGAATATGTTCACTACATGTTATGCATGGTGGTGGCATCAGCATGCTGTGGGGATCCCTTTTAGCAAAATTTATTTTAGGGGAAAAATGGTAAAGAATTTTAGGATGCAGATGCACAAACTTAGTGAAATTAGACCTACAAAAACTCTCAACTGTGATTGCAGCACACAAAATGTTTCTTAAGAGGGGTCAAGAACGTACTCTACATGCTTAAGATTTTTTTAATGCTTAAGAATGTGAAAACCATGCATTATATACCTTTCATAGTTATGTACAACTTTGTTCAGGTTCATATAATCTAGCTTGTGGTTGAAGCATTGGGATGGAATAAAATGTTTAAGAGGTAGAGTAGTTTTGAGAAGCACTGCATATATATTTTGTACTGTAGCTTTAAAAGCATTAACATTAAATTCTTAATGGTTTTATTAATACATTATTTTTCAAATGTTATAAATAATTGGCCAGGTTAACTGGCAAGTACAGAAAAGCACTAACCATAATGTCTAATGGTATCATGAACACCTATTTTTCAAATCTCTAAACGTTGTTATATTTTTTTGTGTGTGCTAATTAAACTTAACTAAGCTGAGGTTCTGCTTCCCGAATGAGGCTCACAAATAAAATAGAGAAATTATACAACATCATTAGAAATTGTGAGCACATTTTACCCTTCAGCATTTCTGAAACCAATCAGATTGTCTCTCAAAGGCTAACATCTTTAGTGCCTGGAGGAACAGTAGAAAAAAGTATTTATTTTTATTTTTATATTGAATTGTTTTTATTTCCAGTTATTGCAAGGTTTTGGATCTACTTTTAAGATGAAATACATTATATATGTTTGAAGGTCTCTTGTAATATTGTATCAAGATCAACAATGCAGTTATCTTAAATGCTGTTAACCCTTCCAGGCATTGACAGCCCAGAAGATCTGAGTATCATCTACTCCAACAGAGCTGCTTGTTACCTGAAGGATGGAAATAGCAGAGACTGCATACAAGACTGCGACAAGTGTGTGACCAAATCTATACGTTTTTTATATCTCTGTCATGATAAAAGACCAATTGAATTAAAAAGCATAATGTCCATACGACAGAGTTTATAAGCAGTGAGTAAAAATGAGCTTGATTTCAGTATTGTGAAACAATATTTGCCCTTTTACAGATATTTTCTATTATTTCTTTGTTTCAAACAAATTTTAAAGATAACCTGAGCAGTTTTACTAATCACATTTTAACATATAAAATTAAAAAATACAAATTAATCAAATGACGAAATTAATTAAAGGTTGTTTGTATTGCTCAAATAAGTAATGTCAAGGAATACAGGCCGAATATGAACCTTGAAGAAATGAATAAATATCTAGCATCTAGATACAAGATACAAAATTAGGCTACCTCTAAACAATTAAATAGATTTTTTTTTTTTTTTTCATTTGTACTTTGTTGCTTTGGAATCGAGTATTTTCAACCTAAATGGAATTGAGTTTATAATATCAGAAAACAGAAAAGTTAGGGGTCTCAATACAAAACTTTGAGGTAGCCATAGCAGAGTGGACTATTATATAAGCTATGATTATAAATATGAAATGATAGACATATGGGAAAAATGATATTAACCCTTTTTAAGGCAGATTATAACAGCCAATGAATCTATTAGTCTGTCATACTTAATCAATGATTGACTGTATTTTAATATCTCTTGAATATACATAACAGACAATATTTTTGAATATAACCTATTAATCCCGGTTCTCTCTGGATTATTTTCTTATATTGCTCACTTTCATGTCAGTGATTTCTTACTTTTATATTTTTGTGTTTTCATCTAAATCATTTGTTTTCCTTTAGTTTTGGTGCTTATATCTTTTGACTCCTTTATCTATACAAATATGGATTTAATTGGTTATTTTTTTAGCTTGGATTTTGTTTTCATTTATACAACGCTAACTCTTGGAATTTGTTTGTTTTGCTTTTGCTGCATTCTAGAGGCAAAATTTTGGGATGTATTCTGAATAAAATGTACACCTACAGTAGGATGATTGCATGTTTTTGCTCATGAAGAAAAAGTAGAATCAAGTCACACTTTTGAAACAGGCTCATTTAGACATAGTGAAGGACATGGTTTGATCCGGTCTGTGCATCTCTCTGATCCTCTTAGGGCTTTAGAGCTGCAGCCTTTCTCCTTAAAGCCCTTGTTGCGCAGAGCCCTAGCCAATGAGTCACTGGAACGCTACAGGAAGGCCTACGTGGATTACAAGATGGTACTGCAGATCGACAACGGGGTGCAGGCAGCTCATGACAGCATCCACAGGTTAGATGAACACAGACACAAACATCAGTTTTGGTTTGGTTAGCTTAGAGCAGGAGGTGTGAAGTTCAGAATCAATGAAGTCAGCATTTTTCTATTTTAAATCTGGTTTTATGAAAAAGTCATAAAATTTTAAACAGCCGTATTTACTTAACAAACCTAACATACGCCCTAAACGTACCCAATTTTTCACGACTTTTTTAGGTTGACAAGGTCTCCTTATGCTTATCCAACAGAACAATAATCATTGTTCTCTCCAGTCATAGCACACCACATGGGCATTAACGTCCTTGAATAAAAAGACCTCTTCCACCTGTATAAACCCTAAAGAACATTTAAATCCTCCCCTTTCATGAGTTAAAACAACAAAGAAGCAAACCTCTCACTATCCAGAGATAAGTTGAACTTTGAGGTACTGGTATCCATACCATGTTACAAAGCTGCCATTAACTCACTTAATTGAAGTTTTTTTTGGTCCAGATTAGGGCTGAAACAATTAATCGGATTAATCGTGATTAATCAATTATTGACATCATCAAATAATTTAGTAATTGATTATTGGTTAACTGGAGTGTAGAGACTCCAAAGCATGCCTTTAGTTGAAAAAGTAACCCACTTAGCGCAGTAATTATATAAAAGTTTAAAAAAATATAAGAAATTGTTTGCATTTAAGATAAAAAAAATACTGTCAATAGGCTCTATTCAGAACTTCTCAAATGGAAAAGTTTTATTTTCACCTGGTTTAAATTTGTAAAAGAAATCTTCCATAAGTATCCTTTGGCTATCCAATTATTAATCAATTAACCGAATAAAATAATCCACAAGTTAATTGATATGGAAATAATCTTTAGTTGCAGCCCTAATCCAAATAGGAGGCTTTTTATCTGCTTTCTTGGCAGTAAGGTTGTACTTAAAATATAAATCTGTGTCCAGTCTTTCTAGCAAAGCAATGCGTAACACCTTCATTAGTACTGTATATTGCTCAAGCCTAATAGAGGGAAGAAATCTGAATGAAATTGTATCATAGATCGATGCTGAGCCTTCAAACCCTGTTTCAGTGTTTTTCTTGTAAGGGAAAACCCTTATGTGGCATTGGTTTCCTTGTTATCTGCCAGAATTACCAAGGCGCTTATTGAGCAGGACGGGCCTGAATGGAGAGACAAGCTGCCGGAGATCCCTGTTGTGCCTCTGTCCGTCCAGCAGCAGCACAGAGAGAAACCAGTCAGCATTGAGCTGGCCCAGGCGCGAGCCGCCAGGGCTGTACAGGAGGAAGGTAGGTTACATTACTATGCTCCCTGCCTACAACCAACAGCTGACACTCTGTATATATGTAAATATATCAGCAGGTACTGACCTCTGTTGAAAAACAAAAAAAAGAAAATAAAAAAAAAGCATCTGCAGTAAAGTGGAGTGAAATTAGCAAAAATAAGATTTTTGATTATGAGTTTAGAAAGCTGCATTGGCTAAGAATGAGTGAGTAAATGCTGAGTAGGACAAAAGCTGCTCCAGCTGGCGGTGTGTTGTGTTTAGGGTTGTATCAATAATGCAAAGAGAAGCCGATCCTCACAGACTGGAGAGCTGCTGTAATGGAACAATTCAGGTCAGGTTCCCCTCAGGGGTCAGAGACTCTTCAAACAGCCCGGGTGACTCCAACCAGAGGCTGGATAAAAAGTCATTTTAATTTTGAGTGAGTCTCATTTAGAATGTATAGAAACATTAAAATAAATGTTTTTGTTGTGCTGAGGAAGAAATTAAAACAAAATTTTCAATTGAAAGATTCCCTGAGAGAGACAGATATTTGATTTTATGATCTAATGAGAATCTTTTACAGAGCAGAAGCTGTGAAACAGACTTTCATGTGACATTAGCATTGCTGCACTTTGTAAATTAGCTGCTGAATGAGCCGCTTTGTCTTAACTTTGAGCTGGAATCATCGTGCTCTGCATCACATCACTCCTTCTTGATCGGAGAAAGTGGCTTTTCGTCCACAGTATCAGCACAGCTAGCTTAAGGTAGCTTCCTGGACAGAGCCTTTTTTTCATGTAGATATTCTCCAATTTCACAGGGGAGGGATGGGCTGCTGATTAGACAACA